CATTGTAATGTTTCTTTCAAAATCATCGCTTGCTACAAAACATTTGATTTGGATGAAAAAGGGACAAATTGTGTTTTTTAAAAAACTTAAATAATTTAGATACAGAAAATTACACTGGCTGTGCCGACAAGCTGTCAAGCTCTTAGTCCAGAAAACAACAAAACTCCTCGTGAAATTGAGAACGTTATACAAGGCGCACATTAACTTCAAAAATAATGAAACTATAAACTTCTTGTATTGAAAATTTTAGATTCTGAAACGGTATGCGCGATGAGCTAGAAACGAATATTTTCTGGCAAATAGGCGAAAACCATCCGCATTCAAAATCCGCCAGTACTACTGAGTATATTTATGAATTAAAATAAGAGCACTCTTGGAACTCACCTCTCTCTCTCTACAAAACGATCAAGCTTTGGTTTGGGAAGTTCACTGTATACATTAATACTTAATCTGAGGTTTACTTCGGTGGCAGTTATTAGTACGTAGAAATATTTATAATTATAATTAGTGGCGTTTTGTGCCAAGGATTTGAAAGGATTATCTGCAGGATAAAAGCTAGATATTTATCTTATCATCATTAACCGGCCTAAGATAGCGAGTAAGAAGACTATTCGAGTGACTGTTTTTATCACAGTTTTAAGGCGAAAAGATCTCGTTAATTACTTTTTGTCTTTCTGCGAGTTTTATCTGCAGATTTTTTGAACAATAGAACAGAACTGTCTTATCCCGCTTTATCAAAAAAATTGTTTGACAACAACGACTCAATTGCAATAAATATCTTTATTTGCATTTCTTTTGTTTCGCAGCTGTTTCTCTTTTCGCTTTTTCATCACTACAAAGTTAGTAAAGTTATACTTTAGAACTAGGACTACGTAGTGTCTCAAGCGTTAAGTGCTAAATCAAGGGCCGCAAAAGTTGGTTAAAACTGCAGACCGTTACCACAATTATTTGTTAGTGGCACTGACGTTTTTGGCTCTTTCTCCAACTGGCTAATTAATCTCGGTGGTCAGTGTACGCGCTCTCTGGGTGTAAAGGGCTATAGGCTGTAGACATGTTACAGCAAGTCAAACATTTGGTTACAGCAAGCCAAACAAACGAGGGACAAAAACGTGCAACTTGTCCTGCAACATTGCCACAAAACGAGTTGAAATAAAGTTACGCTGTCCGTTTTACCGTACCTTTTAACAAAATAAATTGATCTATATGTTTCGGTGTGACGGACTGACTTTCAAAAAATCCGAGTCTTGCAAAATTTTCGCCGCATTTTATGTTTTTGACAAATGTTTAAATCAAACAGCCCAGACACTTAACCAAAAAATCCACGCCAGGCTTGTTAAATGACAACAACTTCAGTCGTATCTTTTAGGGTTAATCCCATAATGATTTTACACTGTAATATGTTGTTATGTTAAGTGGATCTTTTTTGGTCTCTTGCTTTAAGCCATTAAGTTGTTACATCATGTAATAACCCTTCCAAAGCCTGATCAACAGCAATATTTTTTCTAGCATTAACAAAACACAATCAAGAGAACAGGTTACGAGAAGTATAAAAATACTCCGGTGAATTAAGGAATGGGGCACTGCAAATTTGGAGGGGGGTGGTCTGTTTTAGTGGGGATTTTACCTTTCGCATTAATATTTTAAATTCAATATCTACTCCCCATAAGCATTCATTTTTTATTATTACTAATGTATTATCTGTGTCATGTGACTTGCCACACCCATTTTTGACTTTTTATTTCAATCCAAATTTACACCACTTTATAAATAACACTTGTAATCTAATTCACTTTTTGTCAATGACTATTGACACAAAATTTATGGAATTAATCGGGGTTTTCTTAAATTATCTGCCTTTTGTAAACTATAACGTTTCTTGTTAAGAGAGAGACTGGGACGAGAGTAAAATATCTAATAATTACGCAGGAATGGATCATTTCACAAATCCCCGCTTAATTTAGCTTATTTGACTGTAAATGAAATATTATGGAAGGAAAGACGATTGTGGTCACATTCAGTAAACTGGTGTAATCTTCAAAGTCCACATTTTGCATAATTATGGGCGTGGCTGGTCACGTAATCTAAAAAAGGGAGTGTTTAAGGTCCAAAGTGGTTCTGGTCTTAAAAACAGCGGTCTAGGATTAAAATAAAGCAAGATACTGGAAAAAACAAGATCAAGTCATAAAACCCCGCATGTAACGAGGACCCATTCCCTAATTCACCGGAGTAATCACTTATTTAGAAAAATATTTTGATCTTTTATCAAATTCTCTTAACTAATTTTAAAGGAAATATATAGAAATCTGCCTGGAGAATTTGCATGTAAATAATAGTGCGCGATTCCCTAGGCTCATTCCCCACAGTAGCCTTATCATTCAAGCAAGCTCGCCATTTATGGCGAACAAAGCGAGCAGCGACGCCTCTCGCACGAGCGCCTCTCTAAACGGAGAGCTTGCTCGTAGGTTACAGTCGCCGCCTGCGAGCAAATTCACTGGTTCAGTGGCTCGTGATTCAATCAATCAATCACCTTTATTTAAACACTGAATTCCATTCATAAAAATGCCCTTCCAGAGAACCGTGTAGAAATCGTGTAATAAAAAAAATTAGATAAATATAGTTATTAAAATGGTACTAAATTACAAATGTGAGATAAATGACTTCAAGCTTGTCTGTCCCTTAACAGTGTTTGATAGACTATTCGAAAGAACCGCCGCTCTATAGAAGAAGCTGTTTTTTCCAACCTCAGTATACAGTCTTTGTGCACACAAATTATGTGAGTTTCTTAGATTACACGAATACATAGAGTTTGTACTATTAAAAGTTTGAGCCAAATGATCTGGTGCAATGTGATTTTTCAATTTATGCATTATTGTGGCTAATTATTTGAGCGTAACCCAAATCGAGTTATCGAGATCACTTGTTTTGATTCAAAGTTGCAATAGGCACGCAATACATCACCGCTCTCGGAACAAATCAGATTGTATGATTTGCACGATACGAAACCGCTCTCAACTATTTTAAAAATAATAAATACAGCATCACCCCCTCCGCCAACTGTTGATTTACCTCAAAGCTATTGCATGAGAATCTACAACCATAGTTAATAACCGTGCTACAGTCATTCAAATTTAAAATCAAATTCCTGCTTGTTATCCACGACATCCTCTTAAGTTCACGCGGAAGAATGCAAATGTATATGAAACTAAAGACTGACCGCATATTTTCTCGTAGTTCCTACTGAATTAATGTTGCCTGTGCCTAATGTAAACAATCACTGGTGGCTCGACGTTTTGCTCTTGCGGGCCACTGTCGCCTATCACTGAGCAGCGGCTCCCTGACCGCAGCAATTCTATTGGGGCCTTAACGGACGGTGTACCGGAGAAGGCAGTCTAATATTACGTTTAAAACATTGATAGGATCACTGGTGGAATATCTTATGGTGAAACGAAAGACCCTAGAGAGGTTAGCCTGTCCCAGGCTGCGAGATGGTGCCTCGGGAGCTGGGTAGAGAGATTTTTCCCGCCACCGCCCCTTCCAAGATCGCTTGCGTCTTATTTTCGCTTAGCTTGTTTTATTTTTGTGACGTCCCGACTATCCGAGAGTCTGGCACAGGCTAGAGAAAGGTCAGAGATCTACCAAACCCAGGAATCCCACCCTTATGAAGGTGATGCTTCAGTTTTAGCAAATGCTTTCGTCAAATCGCGAAATTTGCCTTTACCATTTTGGCAGAAATAAGTAACAATAATAGAGGTTAAACATCACGTTTACGTTAAACGGGAAACGTGAATTTGCACCACGTGACCAAGTTTCCCCTTTACTTGTCGTTTACTGTTCATTATTTGAACACATATAATAATAGTTTAATGCAATTTCATCCATAAGAATTGTTCTGGCTGTTTTTAACCGCTCATTTTCTATTTTGAGAAATTCTCAACTTGAATCTGACGTTTGCCATTTTCCGTATACGTGAAGCTTAAACTCTCTAATACGTCCCTTTTCACCAACGCCTTTATTACTTGAATGTCAAAAATCGATACTTTAGTAATGTACCTTTACAATATGATTTTTTCATGCACCTAAGAAATTTCCGCAGATGCAGCAAATTAACTATTACAGACTCGCTGGACATCTCATGACATGTGAAGGTTTTATGTCTGCTAAAGAAGCACAGCCTGTAGACAAGAAAAACAGATATATAATTAATATGCTACAATTAGATTGATTGACAAGTAAGGCATAAACGCCTACATTGCATCCACGGAGGTACTTCTATAATGGCCTATGCGGGGAGGCTCCGCCGAAAAGGGATACCTTTTTCAGGCTTCAGATATACGAAAGGTTGGATTTCCCTAGTTGAAGTATATAAACTGGGTAGGGAAGTCTGCCTTTGCATCAGTCTGTCCAAAAAGACTTTAAAAAGGTTACTAGAAGAATTTGTGGTGGTGAAAAAGTCAAGAAAATTTCCTGGTTTTGTGATGCAACGTTCTAAACTAGGGGTACCACTTTTAAGTGGATAATTAGCTATATGAAAGGGTGGTACAAGTACCTTTACTGTCAAAAATGGTATATAAAAGGGTTATGCCAGATTGGACCTCTGAGCGGAGCCTCCCCTTTTAAAACTTTGCTGTGTACCCCCTCCCCGGGATTGCATATTTGTTTGATATCCCGTCACAATCTTGCCATCATTCCACAGGTACATTAGCTTGTTGTGTTCCCTTTTGGTTGTAAACCCGAGAAAAGAATGGGGAGATTTTTCCTGCCTTATTTCAGACCTGGACCTGTGTTCTCAAGGGGTGAATGAGACAAAAAAAGAAAACATATCTTAATTCCAGACCCTTTGTGCTAAAGAACACAACACCTTGCACTATTTCAGAGCAAAACAGTTAAAATCTATAGCCAGTTTGAGACTAAAACAGTACAAAAACTGTAATCTTTGCTGCTACACATATAAGGGAGTGCCCCCAATCCCAGACATTTGCCACTTCATAAAATATGCATTGTATTTTACCTGACAAAATCATTGCTATTTCGAGTTCTTCTTTAAGAATGTCCAGGACTTTGGTCACACCTTCCTCACCCTATAAAAAGATGAAAAGAATCAACGTACACTTTGAAATGTGGATCAACAGGTTACGAGATAACACTCAATAAACAAACATAGATGGAGTTACTTCGCAGAAGTAATGCAACGGTTTCTTTTTTTTTCACATAAGTTTTTTTTTTCACAATATTCCAAGTAGGAAATGTTTTGATGCTAACGTTATTCCCCCTAGGGGTGGGAGAATAATATTGTGCTAGGGGGAAGGGGGTTGGTTTTGGTTTGGGCATGTTCTGCTGGAACCCAGAAACCTAATGCCTTTAACATGTTCGAGATTCATTTTATCAGTATCAAATTTTGCAAGACAGCATTTAAATTCTTTCAAAGTTTTAGCCCTTCACTATTGTGTTTCTTTGTATGTTAAAGTGTTCCGTGCGATTGCTTGTCTATATGGCTTTCGTATATGGGACAAATGCAGACTGCAGATTGGCAGGCTGATAGGTAAAAGAGGTAAACATTGTTGTGAGATGATTTATCAGCTAGATTCCCTATCACTAAACTTTAAGTCTTCCAGAAGCCTTGTTTTTGGGATAGGGAATCTGTTACAGTATTTCACAACAATGTTTAACCTCATTTACCTGCCAGTCTGCAAGTCTGCAGTCTGCCTTTGTCGCACACTGCTATGGCTTTAACCCCTAGGCTTACGATATTATGATTCCACTTGTTTTGTTACCTTGTAGGCAAGTCCCCAAATGGCTGGTCGGCCAATAAAAACAGCTCGTGCCCCCAAGGCCAGTGCCTTGAATACATCTGTACCCAGTCTAATTCCACCATCAACATATACTTCTACTTTTCCATTAACAGCATCCACTATCTCTGGCAGAACATCAATCTAGCAAAAATATATTGTTAGGAATTATTAGTAAACAACAATTATAATAGAAAAAGAAACACTTTATTTATGCCACACGCCTGAAAAATCATGGCCAACAATGATAATGACAATATGTATTATAAATGCACTCTGTATGTTTTGTGTCCCTATGTAGGTCTTAATTTGTGATGTTCTCAACTTAAGGGACCTTAAACTATCCTTAGTATTCTTAAAAATTAGTTACATTTGCTTGTGCTCAGAGACAAGAAAAAACTGAAAGAAATTGGCAGCCCTCAAGAGTAATATCACATGTAAACTACACTGGAAAAACAAAAAAAAACAAACTAAAAGGTTCATTACACACTTACAGTGGCAGGAACACAGTCTAACTGTCTTCCTCCATGATTGGATACAATTATTCCATCAACTCCATGTTGAACAGCCTTTCTGGCATCACCTGCTGTCAAAATCCCTTTGATGAGAACTGGAAGCTTGGTGATGCTCTTCAACCAGTCAATGGTTTCAAAGGTGATTGATTTGTTAACTAAAGCATTTGCAAAATTATCAAATGCAAAACCAGAACCTTGTTGTTTGTTCTTCACAAAATCAGATGATCTCTTGGCATCTGCCATTTTTGCTGGATCAACATTAGGAATATTCATGAGATGAGGTAACAGAACAGACTGATTTCTGACATCTTTTGGTCTCTTTCCTTTCACAGTTCCATCAACAGTCAGGACAATTGCTTTATATCCTTCTTTTTCTGCACGTTTAACAATCTTTTTTGTCATTTCTTGGGAGCTCAGTACATAAAGTTGCATCCATTTAACTGACTCAGGAGCCATGGTTGCAACATCCTCCAGTGATGTGGATCCAACACAGCTGAGTATCATGCAAGTCCCAGCCTTAGAAGCAGCTGCAAAACAATATTTAATAATGAGTCAATAGCCAGCAGAGGCCATTTAGTTGGTCAGAAATATCAAAGCAAAACAACTTAAGCTACATGTAGCAAAATGCAATTCAATTTATTGCTTTGTTTTTCAAAGCCAATGCTTTTGCTAAGCTTAGTAGTAGCTCAACCAATCAGAATGCAGCATTAATAATAGACCACTAGTTGGATTTTACTTAAATCTGTTATTATACATTTAACACATTATCATTCTTCTCTGACAGCCTACTAACAATTAATTCTGGAAATCAGTGCAACTTACAGATTAGCCAGTTATGTGCTAGCAGATACCTGACTAATCTGTAGGTTGCGCGGACAATGCATGTCAAACTGCGTTCCATCCGATGTTGTGTTCGTCAAGCTCCCTGTACAAAACTTTGGTGAATACCCCCCCCCGCCCCCCGCCAAAAAGAGGGTTTCACGTTTCAATAACCTAAAGAAATGTTTAAAGGACCCCCAGCAAGGCTATAAGTAGCTTGCATACTTATGTTACCTTTTGCAGTGGCTTGCTCACCATCAGGGTGGGCAAGTTTTTGAGTTGCTGTTGGTGCAATACCAATTGGTAAGGTAACTTTTTCTCCAAGAATTGTGGTTGAAAGGTCCACTTCTGAAATGCCGCAAAGAACTCGCGGTTGTATTCTCAGCCTGAAATTCAGTTGTACATGTACATGAGCCTTAAAAATCCTAGCATCATTTCACCATTCTCTTCCTGTTTTCTGGGCCCTTTAAGTTCATGCATGTCTCACTGCTGCACTGTATTTGACCAGGACAGACATAGACAAAACAAAACATGGACCCCTAATCCATGGCAAGTTATGTGGACCTAGTCCATGGACCACCCCCGTGGACCACCCTTACTGTTTTAAGATGAATTTTTACCAGAGGGCTAAACAAATGTTAGGAACCTAAAATGGCTGAAACTGTGTCAATTTTTAGTTCACTACATGTATATTTACACTATTGTTATTTTTAGTATATTATTGCTCAAATTTTTCCTGAATTCCATTCATGGGTTTGGTTTCGTCAGGAAGGAGAAACAACATTTGAAGGGGGCAGGAGGAGACCTCTGGTTAAATTCATCTTAAAAAATTAAGGGTGGCCCACAGGGGTACTTCATGGACCGGGTCCACGAACGGGTCCATGGACTAGGTCCACAGGGGTGGTCCATGTAACATTATTGAGAGGAGAAACAGGCAAGAATCCTGGGGGGGTACTCCCATACATTACCTATACGGGTATGTGCCACCCAACGGGGTCGTGATTTTGAAGCTCCTGATTTAGAACGGGGTATCCATTTCAGTGGCGTTTTCTAGAACGGGGTATAATATTTCGAATGCACGAAAGCTCCAGTTTTTGTAAGCAGCCATTTTAAATTATTCAAGGACAGATTGCTTTTAAAAATACGGTTCAATGCGTTAACAAGCAAACTGTTGTACTCTTATTGCACCCTAGAACGAAGTATAAAAAACTGGCTTATTTCTAGAACGGGGTATCAGTTTTAGGGCGAATTCTAGAATGGGGTATAAAAAATTGGCTCATTTCTAGAATGGGGTATCAATTTTAGGGGAAATTTTTTTTAGAATGGGGTGCCAATTTGGAGTCCCGGGCGGCACATACCCACCCAAAAAATACCCAAGTGCCCCCCGGGGCAAGAATACATCAACACAACGGCTAAATCGAGCAAGAACAATATTACATCGAGCACATGGTAAAACCAGCCCACCCACTAAGACTGACGGGAACTAAACGATTACATCAAAGGGCGTCCATGTTTTGTATACGTCCAACCACGACCTAAGGTCTTGACTCTCATGCAAACAATAATGATCGAAAGAACGTTGCTTTAGTAGTTCACTGTTGATGTCCAATTCCCCCTCCACCACACACACAACTACAGAAGCATGGAAGAAAACAAACAAATCAATAGCCGCGGCTGGTCTAAAATACAGGTTACTTTTCGATAGGTCAGAGTACAGGTCACGCAACATGATATAGATAAATAAATAGCGTTAAAAGTGTCTCCTAGTCCAAATCTCTTGACAGAATGCTGTATTAGATCGATGGGAAGCTGTGTGGTTTATTCATCGGTGGAGCAGTGACCAGTTGGTAGTCCTGACCTGTGGAATGTGACCTGTACTTGACACCCGGTCCCAGCTGTTCTCGCCCCATGTTCTCGCACCTTTTAAAAGCCTCCAGGTTTTCTCTTATGGTAGTTTCTTCGTTTGCACCTCCTGCAAAAAACTCAAATGCATAAAATGGCAAGTACTCCCTTGCGTAACTCTCAAAATCTTTCAAACAAACGGGTTCCGTCAAGGAATCCGCCATATTTACTGCACTGGAAACTTCACTCTGCCCCCGATGTGCCCGCGGTACTCCCCACCCGACGCATGGAGTGGTTGTCATTAGATCTGTCCCGTCACGCAACGCCTCCTCCCTAAAGTGTTGCGTGAAATAGAGTACCGAAAGACCTCGCGTGGGAAATTTAGATTTACAACCTATTACTTAAGGCAAACTGCGCATTGGTGGATTTTTCTATCAAAATATTAGCACTTAGACATGGGCAGGGCGGCAGTGAGATAATTATGTTAGGGTCGTAGTCCGGGGAGGGTACTCCCATACATTACCTATACGGGTATGTGCCGCCCAACGGGGTCGTGATTTTGAAGCTCCTGATTTAGAAGGGGGATCTGGATTTAGAGGCGTTTTCTAGAAGGGGGGGTATAATATTTAGAACACACGAAAGCTCCAGTTTTGTAAGCAGCCATTTGAAACTATTCAAGGACAGATTGCTTTTAAAAATACGGTTCAATGTGTTAACAAGCAAACTGTTGTACTCTTGTTGCACCCTGTGTTTTAGCGTGCAGGGTGGGCATATTTTGGCGCGAGCCCATTTCTAGAACGGGGTATCAGTTTTAGGGCGAATTCTACAACGCGGTATAAAAAATTGGCCCATTTCTAGAACGGGGTATCAATTTTAGGGGAAAATGTTTTTAGAACGGGGTGCCAATTTGGGGTCCCGGGCGGCACATACCCACCCAAAAAATACCCAAGTTCCCCCCCCCCGGGGGGGTCGTAGGCCCGAGCCCGGGGACTAGCCCGGGGTTATGGCGACACTTGCATCGCGTGACTAGATGTCACATGCACGTGACTCGTGCAATATGGCGTCTACTGAGGAAAGGGCTTTCAAGCTCGATGTCAACATTACCAAATCAGAGGATTCTTCGCCAGTGTTTTTCAAAGTCGATGGCGAGAGATTTAAGGAGGTTCAGACCCTGAAGTTACAAGTTGATACAAAGTACAGACTGTCCTTCGAGTTTCGGCCAGCAATGGAAGTCAGGTAAGTATTTATTTATTTATTTATTTATTTACCAAATAAGTCTTCACTCTTAACAGAGTATTTCAGACTGGTTTAAACAATAAAGATTACAACAATGAATAATACAACATCTTAAAATCACTAATCAATATGTAAGATTACACAGGGATTGCCTAAATGAACATGGCGATTTCTAGTGGGAGATTGTTCCACTGTCCAATTGTCGTCCTAGCCAGGGTAAAAAGAATTCTTGTAATAATCACATGTGCAACGTGGCTGCTCAAATAGATGGCTGAGAGACGAGATCCTGGTGTGCATTCTGCTCTCATGTTCTTCTGAAGCTTGTCGCATTCGTAAGTGGCTAATTTATTTCTCTGTTTGTACAGCATACGTACAGAGACGTACGTCAGATCGCCTGAGCTCCAGAGATTTCCGTTTGAGAGATAGCATATCAGTGACACTGTCTTATCTGTCGTAGCGCCTGAGTACCCAGCGAGCTGCTCGGCGTTGAATCATTTCGACCTGTTGTATGTTCTTAGCTCCGTAAGGGCCCCAGACAGTGGCACTATTTTCAACAGTCAGTCTCACAAGTAAGATATTGATATTCGCAGTGATAATCCTTTCAAGTACGTTAAAAGGCTGCCACAGTTCAAACCAATACAATATATAATTTAACTAAATTTTTTTTTTTGCCGAATTTGGGGAATGCTTTTGTTTTTGTCCAGCTGCAGCATGACCACCATGATTTCAGCTGAAAACCAGCCAAATTATTTCACAAGCTTCAGTGATGAATTTCACTTTGATCGGGGCAGCGATTCCACAACCTGGGCCCTCAGTTATTGTCGTTATTTGAAGAACAGTAAAAAGTCATTGAAGAAAAAAGTCAAGTGGCAGAATTTTGATCATGCCTAAAAATTCCTGGGTTTGTTTTATAAAAATATCAAGTCTTCCATTAATGAAATACTAAGCTTATCGTCTATTTATCTATAATTTCATAAAGATTATCCCCAAGAGAGGCCAGTACAAAATCCACACTCAGATCACCTCATTTACATACTTACCATACAATAAAAACGATTGTCTTCCCGACATCTAAATGAGTTGATCCTTTTGAGTCCAATTTTTGGTTAAGGCTTCAAGGGTCAAGGGTAACATGAAGAGTGTCGAGGGTACTACACCCTGTATGTCGAGGGTCGATTTCTTATGTTTTCTATGTTTTTTTTTTTTCATGCTTTTTGACCAATTGATCAGGAGCGCCAGACATGCACAAAAGTTCAGTTTTTATTAGCAATGACTGCGAGTGTTGACAGAAGCATTGTAATAACAGTACTAATCCAAAAGAAAAGAGTCCAACCTTTGGTCCAGGTATTTAGGAAAAACACACTCTAAACACCAAAAATAAAATCCCTTGAAAATTGCAAAACATTTCAACACAGTTTAAAATACATACCTGTATTAAAATTGATAATTTCTCTCTACCCCAACAACCAAGTGCACAAAAAGTGGACGTGACGTCTAAGATCGCAGAAATAACTCATGGACCAATCATTTCCGGGTTGCTGTTATCAAACTTGCCTTGCAGCCTTGTTTTTCTTGAAAAAATTGCGTCACTCACGCAACACCCTGCCTTACGAAATGAGCTGCCTGTGATTGGCTTTTTTCTTTGTTGTGATCAAGCAAATAATATTTTTTGTATTTTCCGTGTAATGTTAGCTTCACGACACGTGAAAAAGCTCAACCTCGACATAAATGACAAATTTGTCCCACATTTTCGCATTAAATTATCAGTAGCAGATCCAGGGGAGGTCTGGGCCCCCCTTATTTTTAGACCAAACTGAGGCCTGAAGGGCCAAAAAATTTTTTTGGACTCTGCCCTCCCTTTATCTCAGGGTCAGGATGACCTGGCCCCCTCTTATCTGAAGGTCTGGATCTATCGGATCCATCACTCTTAATTGTGCAGGTAATGCAAGGTTTTTTGCAAAAGATTTCTTTATTCTGTTTTTTGGAATCAAAAGTCTTTGATTTGTCGCGTTATTTTCTTTTTTTATTTGCCGTGATTAGATATAATAAAACGAGGTAAAGGTCATTTGTCTGTCAGAGGTGCACTTATTTTTAGTGTATTTTTAAAAACGCGAAACAAATTTTAAAAAAATGAACCCTCGACAGTCCCCTCGACATAAAAACTTGACCCTTGACATGTTCCCCTTGACCCTCGACACCCTGACCCCGTTCTACTGATGTTCTCAGAGTGGGGGGGGGGAGGTGTATGTTTTCGGCCATTAGTTGAGTTTAAACATGAAAATATATAAAATATGATCATAATTTCATGCCCAGAAGTTAAAGCCAATGCTTGCAATTTGACGATTATATTTGTGTATAAATCTAGATCTGTACCTCTCTCAACGGCCAGTTTTTTTTTGAGTTGCATGCACATTTGTCTTAACGGGTCCTCAACTGCTCTACGATGGCCACCTCCCCCCTATCCTGGATGTGACACAGGGTGACCCTCCCCGCACGCCTCTACCTAAGGAGTACTTTCTCGATGTTTTCTTGCAGTGAAATTTCCATGGGAGGAGTAAACCTCGAACATACGTTAAAAATGAGCGATGAAAGATCTTCACAGTATGAGTGCTTATGGTCCACATATGGAATGAATGAGTCAAAGAGCAAAGACAGGTTTTACTCGGTGTTGTACATCAAGTTTACTAATGATAAACAACTCAATGCAAGGATTCAGTGCAAGATGTATTCTCTGAAAGACAAGAACCATGTCACTTGGGGCAGTTGCTTAAAGAACTTGCATATTGATTGCAAGATGAAGGATGGCCAAAACTACATTGATGTTCAGCAAGTTTTATTCAAGTAGTTAAATATTTCTATAAAAATAGATGATTTATAAATTAATAAAAATATTTGACTTTAGGATTTTTTTTAGCCTGATAGGTAATTGCTTGTGAAAGGAAAAGGTGAGAATAAATTAATACACAAGAAAGTAAAACAGGAGTGCAAAACTTTCATTTTGAGTGGTGACACAATCACGTTAAAATTATGAAATCAACTATTTTCAGTGTTTCATTAAACAGCCCTCAACAGTGTAACTTGTGCAAGCACATCATCTTCCTTCAGTTTAAAAGTCACTTAAAGGGGTAATCATATAAAGAAATTATTATGGAAGAACATGGCCTCTTTAAATATATTTTTAAGACTAGAAATTGAAATTATTTTGGTCATGTTAGTTTTTTAACATGCATTTACTGGTAATATATTCTTAAATAGTCAGAATTTTACATGTATTTTTTGAAATCATAATATCTTAAACAGATTTTGATTAAAAGTCTTTTTCTTGTATTCAACAGTCTACAAAATTAATGTTAGTTTTAAATAATAGCTTATAATACAAAGGGATAAGCATACATGTAGCTTCTCAAATCTGCCATTGGAAATAATTATCTCTGGACACCAAGGATGTTTTTTTTGTTTTCTGGCAATAATACAAAATTTTGCTAGCGAACCTTTAAATTGGCCTGCAAGCAATAATTATTCCATTATGGGAGATTAGGGAGTTGAGCCAGCTCTTGCAATGTTCCTCAGACAGTAATGCTCCTCCCCGTCCCTACCCCCTGAAGATCTTGTTATCTGTGCTCAGTATTGTCGGCTGTATATCACAGGGATCTCAGAGTGAGCCACAAGAGAATGCGTGAGCAAGCAGTGAAGCTCCTTGCACTCATGTCTCCTCTCGCGTGCGACTCTCGCGTGACTTCTTGCTCATCCACCAAATGGAGAGCTAGTCTGCTACACAGCTCTAAAAACGGTTGTGTAGCAGACTAATGGAGAGCCTGCTCACAGGTTAAATTCTCTGGTTCAGGGGCCCGTGATTAAGAGTAACACAAACTTGAAAAAAAGTGAAAACCACCAGAAAGACTGCGCACGGCTCGAAAAATATCACAGCTCTCAGGACTTATCAGATTGTATGTTTTTACAAAACACAGCATAAATGTAGATTGTAGATTAAATTCATTTTAATTTTTGAACACCTTTTTTATTGGAAATATTAGTCTTTCCACTTTTTTTCTATGTACTATTGTTTTTTTTAAAATCCTGAAATATTTTATTACTTTACATAGGTTTACACCAGCCATTTTTTCATACTCAGCTGATCTATTTTTTGCAGTATAAATAAAGTATTTATTATCTCACAGTATAAAACTTTGGAATTCTGTCCGCATTATGAGTAGTATAGGGTGCATAACGTAACCTACACCACTTGAGAAGCTATACTTAGAAGTAAAAAAGGTCGGTGCAAAACCTAAATACGATCCTAATATACATAATGATATGAATTTCTCTACTTAAAAAGGCAATTTAAAATATTATTAAATTCTTATACTCTGTAAATCCTGCACAAAGACATGATGATATAATTATCTCTACTAGAAGCCTGTTTAGAAAATTATTCAGTTTTTATACTCTCATTATCTCTATTATTATTATTACTATTATTATTATTATTATTGTTTGCACAATATGAGCCGGCTCTCAATTTTTTTTAAAAATAATAAATGCTGTACTATCTCCAAGCTACTGCATGAGAATCTACAACGTTAACCATAGTTACTATAAACTGTCCTACATTCAGATTTAGAATCTTATACTTGCTCTGCTTGCTAATTACGAGATCCTCTTAGGTTCAGGTGGAAGAATGCGATTGTATAATAATATGATACTAATGATAGATCAAAGACTGATATATAGTCACTGGTGGCTCGACTTCTTGCTTTTGCAGGTCATTGTCGCCTATCACTGAGGAGCGGTTCCCTGACCACAGCAGAGTTATTCTATTGAGACCTTATCGCCGAGGGTTGTATCCCGGAAGGCAGTCTAAATGGTAGAACAATTAAGACATTGATAGGGTCACTGGTGCAGTATCTTATAGGGAACTGACAAACCAAAGAGAGGTTAGCCTGTTCCAGGCTACAAGATAGTAGCACGGGCCGGGGGCTAGGGAGGGAGATTTTTCCCACCACTGCCCCTTTCCAGATCGCACGCGTCTTAAGTTCGCTTGGCCTTTTTATTTTGCAATGTCCCTACTATCTGAGAGCCTGGCACAGGCTAGCGAAGGGTCAGAGATCTATCAGACACAGGGATCCCACCCTTATGAAGGCAATGCTTCAGATTTAGCAATGTTTCTGCCAACTTGTGAAATTTGTCTTTACCATTTTCACAGAAATAAGTAACAATAACTGTCCCTTTTCACTAATGCATGTATTAATAATTATTACATGCTTGACTACCTTTACATTGATTTGATTTTTTCATGCACTTAAGAAATTTCTGCAGATGCAGCACGTTAACTATTACAGTCTTGCTGGACATCTCATGACATGTGAAGGTTTAATATCTGCTAAAGATGCACAGCCTGTAGACAAGAAAAACAGACATATATATGACATTAAAAATTATTATGAACATGACGCTGCAATAAAAATAATTGATTGACAAGTAAGGCATAAACACCTACATTGCATCCTTCCCATATAGGCCATTATAGAAGTACCTCCCAGGCTCCGCCAAAATGGGATACCTTTTTAAAGCTTCAGATATATGAAAGGTTATGGATTTCACTAGTTGAAGTATATAAAAGGGTAGGGAAGTCTGCCTTTCCATCAGTCTGCAAAAGAGACTTCAAAAAGGCTAAAAGAAGAATTTGTGATGGTAAAAAAGTCAAGAAAATTTCTTGGTTTTGTGACGGGATGTTCTAAACTAGGGGTACCACTTTTAAATGGAAGGTATAAAGGGGTGAATGTACCTTTACTGTCATTCAAAAATAGTGGATAAAAGGGTTACACTGCATTGGATCTCTGGGCGGAGCCTTCCCATGCAAAACTTTGCTGAGTACCCCTCTTGTTTAATATGCTGTCACAATCTTGCCATCAACCAGAATACAGGAAAGACAAATTATCCAAATGACCCACGGTTTAACATTATTGCAACTAATGGTATTCCTGGCATGCTTCCTGAAATCCTTCTGCCTTCCGTATATTTCCGAGCAAAATATATTTTTGATTTTCTTAGTCTGCATACTTGGCAGGACATCGCATGCAACTGCTGGCACATTAGTTTGTTGTGTTCCGTTTAGGTTGCAAACCCAAGAGGAAAATGGGGAGATTTTTCCTGCCTTATTTCAGACCTGGACCTGTGTTCTCAAGGGGTGAATGAGATACAAAAAGAAAACATATCTTAATTCCAGACGATTTGTGCTAAAGAACACAACACCTTGCACTATTTCAGAGCTAAACAGTTAAAATCCATAGCCAGTTTGAGACCAAAACAATACAAAAACTGTAATCTTTGCTGCTGCACATATAAGGGAGTGCCCCAGCCCCCCAACCCCAGGCATTTGACTATTCATAAAATATGCAAGTTCTGTATTATACCTGACAAAATCATTGCTATTTCGAGTTCTTCTTTAAGAATGTCCAGGACTTTGGTCACACCTTCCTCACCCTATAAAAAGATAAAAAGGATCAAGTTGAAGGTACATTTTGTTTTGATGCAAGCATATTCCCCCCCCCCCACCCAACTTAGAGTACCGGTAGTGGGAGAATAATATTATGCTAGGGAGGGTGGTTTTGGGTTGGGCATGTTCTGCTGGAACCCTTGACCTTAAATACCAGATGTTCAACTGCAAATGAGCTAACCTATTCTGAACTAGACACTGGCAACCCTTATACCATGCTAAAATTCATTAAGTCTTTATACCACGTACAGTTTGATCATGCCCATTAATGACAGAGGTGAACACAGTTTAATATGCACACCAAGGGACTTATTAAGCAGGTTATTTTTAAAAAGAATACATGAGATTTTTCAGTGTTGGGACAAACAAATTAATTGTCCATTGTATATGGGTGCCCATATTAAGTAGGTGTCCGTAGAGTGGGGTTCCACTGTACCTGTACTAGACCAGGACATTCGGATTTCTTAACCCTTTGACAGAGCAGACTACTTCACACAGTGGCACAATATTTATATCTATATATAATAGCCCGTGATGGCCATCTATAGCCTTAACCGCAAGGCTTACATGTACAATTCAAATATTATGATTCCATTTTTGTTACCTTGTAGGCAAGTCCCCAAATGGCTGGTCGACCAATAAAAACAGCACGTGCCCCCAAGGCCAGTGCCTTGAATACATCTGTACCCAGTCTAATTCCACCATCAACATATACTTCTACTTTTCCATTGACAGCATCCACTATCTCTGGCAGAACATCAATCTAGCAAAAATACATTGTTAGGAATTATTAGTAAACAACAATAATAGAAAAAGAAACACTTTATTTACGCCACACGCCTGAAAAATCACGGCCAACAAGAGGGGGGCATGAGGGTCGCTGTAATGCGGTTAATTTTTATTTCAAACTACAGTATTGCAGTTTTCTGAGTCCAAGCAGTATGCAGTAATTTTAAAGTTTATGTTGTAGTAATCAGTGAAAATCGATGATCTGCCTCCTTTTTTTAAAGCATGACAACTCTACAAATCCTAAAAGCTCTCCCTAGCCTGCACGACCTATGTGACCTGCGTGTCAGGCCTGTCCCTAGTTGCAAAGTCAGGGACCATTTATTGCACAAACAGTCCAGACAAATCGTATGGCTTGTAATTTCAGTTAACACTTGATATAATTAACAACATTAACCTTTTCATCCAATGATGCAAAAACATGTTGCATTATTTCATGACCTTATGGGAATAGTTGGCTTGGCTAACCTCCTTACCGACCTTTAATACTGTCTCTTTATTCAAGCCAGTTGTGAAACAATGGCGAGCGATCCACGTAGAAGGTCAACAAAGTGACCAGTCAGATAATCTAGCAATATAGCGAGGTCATTATAAATTGCATAGCAATTTTCTATGAAGAAGGAAAAGGGGGTGAAATTACAGAGAAAAAAAAAGTTCCATTGTTTGGTAAATCAAGGGGAGAAGAGGCTGGTGAAATTCAGGGAAACCGTTTGGTAAGTATTACCTCATTGTCCCTTCTCCTATCTTACGTCAACAGTACATTGCAGGCCACTTAAAAAATGGACTGACAGTTACTGTTGAATTTGATCTTCACTGAAAAATTTTGTTGGATCATTCGATGATCGTTTGTTTTTTATTCGACGCACCTTGATTTGGAAACACTGACATAAAAATATTTTTTCTATTTAAAAGGTGGATCTGCAGTAGTCTTGACAACCGCAACTTTTTCCCATTTGTAACTGTGGTTTCAGTATTTGGGTAAATTTTGATGCGGTATCATGACATGCAGAAATTGACAGCCCTCAGGAGTGATATCAGATGTTACCTACACTGGAAAAACAAAACTGACAAACTAAAAGGTTCATTACACACTTACAGTGGCAGGAACACAGTCTAACTGCCTTCCTCCATGATTGGATACAATTATTCCATCAACTCCATGTTGAACAGCCTTTCGGGCATCATCTGCTGTCAAAATCCCTTTGACGAGAACTGGAAGCTTGGTGATGCTCTTCAACCAGTCAATGGTTTCAAAGGTGATTGATTTATTAAATAAAGTCTTTGCAAAATTATCAAATGCAAAGCCAGAACCTCGTTGTTTGTTCTTCTCAAAATCAGATGATCTCTTGGCATCTGCCATTTTTGCTGGATCAACATTAGGAATATTCATGAGATGAGGTAACAGAAAGGAATGATTTCTGACATCTTTCTGTCTCTTTCCTCTCACAGTTGCATCAACAGTCATGACAATTGCTTTATATCCTTCTTTTTCTGCACGTTTAACAATCTTTTTTGTCATTTCTTGGGAGCTCAGTACATAAAGTTGCAGCCATTTAACTGACTCAGGAGCCATTGTTGCAACATCCTCTAGTGACGTGGATCCAACACAACTGAGTATCATGCAAGTCCCAGCCTTAGAAGCAGCTGCAAAACAATATAATCTGTTATTATACATTGTACAAATTATCTTTCTTCTCTGAGAACCTACTAATAGTTAATTGAGAGGGGGGGGTAAGGGGGAACTAAGGGGGGTACAAACACTGCAAAACTGCTCAGAAATACAAAAACCGCACACACAGAATAATGTAAGAAAACTGCAAACTGCATTTAAATTACCCCAAAATATCTAAATACTGCAAACCGCTTGGTTTTGTAAAACCGCAATACTGTAACTTAAAGTGAAAATTTCCGCCAAACTGCACCGATAATTGAACAAAACCGCATCACAGTAAACGCTTACGCTCCCCTCAACCTTAATTCTGGAAATTAATGCAACTTACAGTTACATGTATCTGCTAGCAGTTTCCCAACAACTTAAAAGAAGTAAAAAGGACCCCCTGAGCCAGGTCTTAAGTAGCTTGCATACTAATCTTACCTTTTGCAGTGGCTTGCTCACCATCAGGGTGGGCAAGTTTCTGAGTTGCTGTTGGTGCAATACCAATTGGTAAGGAAACTTTTTCTCCAAGAACTGTAGTTGAAAGGTCCACTTCTGAAATGCCACAAAGAACTCGTGGTCGTATTCTCAGCCTGAAATTCAGTTGTACACGAGCCTTCAAAGATCCTAACATTATTTCACCTTTCTTTTCCTGTCTTCTGGGCCCTTTAAGTTAAGTATGTCTTGCTACTACACTGTATTTGACCATGATGGACCTATACAAAACATGGACCCCCAATCCATGGACCACCTCTGTGGACCTAGTCCATTGACTACCCTGCGGACCACCCTAAATCTTTTAAGATGAATTTTTACCAGAGGTCTAAATTTTAGGAACCTTAAATGGAATGAAACTGTGTCAACTTTTAGTATATTTATTATTAGGATTAAAGGCTCCTTGAATATGACATGGGTTTGGTTTAGTCCAGAAGGAGAAACAATATTTCAAGGGGATCGACCATCTAAGTGGCACACTAGGGAGGAAAAGGAAAAGGCTTTGCATAAATGATTGAGTACCCTCCCCAGACATCCCTTTCCTTGATAGCTCTTGGAAATGTTTATTGGTTGGCAAACTTATTAAATCCTGCTTATGAATCAAGCACAAAATGACCTGCAGCTCATTAAACAAGGCGGTTGGTCAAACATCTGACAAGTTTGCGGACATTTACATGTTGGTTCATGTAATTTGCAATAATTCATTCACGTCGAGATTGCTGTCATGACAAACATACAGACATTAGGCTTCATGCTTAGTCTCATATGCAGCCGTTTTTGTTTCGATTTTCACGATTACGACATGAAGACAAAAAAAGAGCTACACAGGAGACTGCGTCCTCCCTACCACCCCCCTGTTCCCTTAAAATAAGGTTACTCCTTCACTAAACTAAAACAAACCCATTACACTGGTAAGGAACTGAAAAAAAATTAGCAAGTGTAAAATATGAGGAGCCCATAACCCTAATAATAAATACTGACCACAGTTTCATCCATTTAAGGTCCAAAAATTTGTTTACACCTCTGGTTAAATTCATCTTCAAAAATTAGGGGTGGTCCACAGGAATACTCCATGGACTTGGGGTCCAAGTTTTGTATAAGTGATCTGACCACGACCTAGGGTCTTAACTCTACAAACAATAATGATAAAATGATAAGTTGCTTCAGTAGTTCAATTCTTATGTCCAATTACCTCTCCACCACACACACAAATTTAATAAGCATGCAAGAAAACGAACAAATCAACAGCATGGATCAATGAGTGAGAGTCCAACATGGATAACTACTATAAAGATCTCTGGAAAGGTAAAGAGGGGTCTTCCATTTAGTAGAGGAGTATTTTCTCATGATGGAAAAGGAGACTCCAAGTGAAGTTTTACAGAAAGTGAAATCTTGACCTGTTCTGAAGGTTTACCATCCTTGGACACCCAGGGGCAGATAGTAGGGGCAAGGGAAAGTCTAAACGGGCGGGAAAATATGGCACGAAGAAAAGTAAAGAACGGCGAGAAGAGCCCCTGGGGACAATGTCTTACCAGACCAGTTCCAAATGGTCGTTCTGGCTTCTGATTGGTGCCAGAAAACTCTTGTGCTTTTCTGCCCAATCAGAAGCCAGAACGCGGGTCTCCGAGGATGAGGGTTTACGGTCGTTTCGCCAAAGTTGTGTTTGGCAACTTCTGAAGTCGTGTTGCATATGTGCTAGGTCAGTTCCCTACGGGGGTGGGGGGGGGGGGCTGGGGGTTGGGGTACTCCTGGGAATTCTTGGTGGGGGTGTGCTGCCCAGTTCCTCAAATCCTGATCCAATTTCAGACCAAAAAGTGTAATTTTCCACACCCATTTTCAGACTAGGCCTCTAAACTCCATACCCGTTTCAAGACCTGGCCCCGGTTGTTCAAACGTTGGATAGCGCTATCCACCGGATAAATCACTATCCAGTGGATAAGTATTACGCAAGTCAATTACGCTATCCGCTGGATAGCGATTTATCCGGTGGATAGCGCTATCCAACGTTTAAACAACCCGGGCCTGGCCTTTAGGCAGAAATTATGTTATCATTACTTAGCCGTAAGAGCGCGAACAAAAAATTATTCAAATCCATCTCGAATCCGCATATTTCTCTTTCTTGCTTACTCATTTGGAATTGAAACGACTAATATGTTCATACACTCCATAGTTCCTAGAAAACCATACCCGATTCCAAACCAAAATGGGCAAAGTGTATTTCAGACCAAAACGGCGCAAAAACCCGACCCGATTGGGCGGCACATACCTATATGGCTTATATAAGGGAGTAACCTCCCCGGGGGGGGGGGGGGTCCTCCCATACATTACCTATACAGGTATGTGCCGCCCAAAGGGGTCGTGATTTTGAAGCTTTTGATTTAGAACGGGGTATCCATTTCAGAGGCGTTTTCTAGAACGGGGTATAATATTTCGAATGCACGAAAGCTTCACTTTTGTAAGCAGCCATTTGAAAGTGTTCAAGGACAGATTGCTTTTAAAAATACGGTTCAATGCGTTAACAAGCAAACCGTTGTACTCTTGTTGCACCCTAGAACGGAGTATAAAGAATTGGCCCATTTCTAGAACGGGGTATCAGTTTTAGGGCGAATTCTAGAACGGGGTATAAAAAAATTGGCCCATTTCTACTACGGGGTATCAATTTTAGGGGAAAATTTTTCTAGAACGGGGTGCCAATTTGGAGTCCCGGGCGGCACATACCCACCCAAAAAATACCCAAGTGCCCCCCCCGGGGTAACCTCCCCCCCCCTCAACACCCGCCCACTGAAAGAACTACGAATATACATAGGCATCACACTTTTTTGTATCATGGCTGAGAGAACACTCGTTTCGCTTCTTAGCAGAACGACATAAGACGTTGGCGAACAGAACTCTGGCGAAACGACTCGAAGGCGAAACGACCGTTCTGAATGTTCTCGCACCTTTTAAATGCCTCCACGTTTTCTCTTATGGTAGTTTCTTCGTTTGCACCTCCAGCAAAAAACTCAAATGCATGATTTGGCAAGTTCTGCCTCGCGTAACTCTCAAAATCTTCCAAACAAACGGGTTCCGTCAAGGAATCCGCCATATTTACTAACTCCTCATGACGTAGACACATTATGATTCATACACAAAGTCATTCTTTACAAAGGAAGGAGCCGCATTAAGAATAGTGATTATAGGGCTGAGCCGGGCTGAGCACTGAAATACTGATTAGGTTTAAGCCTTAAGAATAGTGATAAGGGTTAAGCACTGACTCGAAAAACGGTTAACTTCTATTTAGGGTTAAGGTTGATGCTATATACTTTCAACTCAAACCACTTTGTGCCAGCAAATCCTTGGTAGTCTAGTGGTTTGAGTGGTGGACTATAGATTCAAAGCTCTGGCTCCTTGGGACAATTAAGTCTAAGTGTATTGGGGCGGGGGGTGCCTAATGAATGGTATTTATCAATATGAGCACTTACATGTATCCAATGGGGGAAACGGGGGTGGGGTACTCTTCTATATTTTGGATAGAGGTGTGCTGCCCATGGTCTTAAAAAAACCCTGACCCTGTATAAGTATGAGACAAACAAAAACTGATAATTTCCATATTTAAGGCCCAAACCTGGAAAATAGGAAAGACCCAATTCAAGGGAAAGAAACACACAAATCTTCTTTAAATCACTTTCCTGACACTCTTTTTGAAGTTAAAGTTCAGTTTTGATTTGTTTCTTCACTTGAATTTTAGCTGATGAAATAACGGTACCCTATCTGAACACAGCACTAACAAGGGCGGATCATTATTTGAATGATACCATATTTAAGGAGGGGGGCCCTAAAAAAACCCAACCCTATCAGGCAGCACATGTATACCTATCTAGCCCATATATGGGAGTACCTGGCCCTTCCCCTCTGAGTATGTATCTGACCAGTGATAAGCCAGACCAATCCAGCTTTAACCGTCTGCAGGGGCGGATGTAGGCCGTGGGGAAGGGTGCAGGGGGTATGCACCCCGTCCCCTCTGAGATGACCTGCGGCTTTTAAATATGACTGATATTCTGCAAAAAAATTATGTGGTTTATTGGTGTTGAAGTAAAACATGAGACAACGTTGAAGAATTTATATTCACGCCGTAAAACAGTGGTAGTTTGGCAGGTCACATCACCAGTCAGTTACACTTTTCCTTAGTGGTGCACCCCTCTTAAGAAAAAACATGGATCCACTCCTGGTCTGGCATATAAAAAAAAAACAATATATTTTCTACCTTTTACTGTCACACTTGCCTAAAAAAATGATTTATTCCAGTACACCTCACTCATAATGCAGCCTTACTTACAGTGTTATTAATAGAGCGGTTTTCATTTGAGTGTCGAAAGGTAATTGGTTTTGCGTTTACTACGCTACGTGATTGGCTTAAAAGATTCGCGCCACTTTTTTATCCAATCAGAAGGAAAACCAAAACCAATTGTGTCACGCTCGCATGCATTTTCCCGCGCTTTGCGTCAGCTACATGTAATTACTTCGAGTTTTAATTGGTTCACTGTATTGTCTGTGTCCTTTGTGATTGGCTAGAGTAATTACTTTGGTTTTGGTTTTACGATACTCAAATGAAAACCGCTCTATGCTTATCCTGGGATAAATCAAATTAAATTTGTACCATTATTTTATTACGATATCTGACCATTAGATGGCCATTTTTTCGTTCTAATGTTCTTCATGTAGAGCACTCTGAAATGTGCCATTAATGTGAGTACTATTTCTCTGAAACTAAATATACTATTTTAATCATATAAATAATGACTACTGGGGTCATAAACTATTTACATTCAATCTATGTGCTAACGTTGTTATAAATCACAGTGTAGTATCATAAGCACACCCTTGCTGGCTGAAATACACATAGCCTGCACCACAGATGAAACTAAACCTCTGGTTAACTCCATCTGCGAGCCAACACCCAATTCATTATTCAAGACCCCACCTGTGTACAAGGATTTGGTTACTCATCATGATTGGGTTGTTAACAAAGCCATTTTCAATTTGCCACGCAGGTTAAAATGGAAATTTGAAATGCAATTCTGGTAATATGTTGCGTCCATTGGAAGCCCAGAAAAAGGATCTTGTTACTACTTTGCAGCCGTTACTAGTCAGGGCTGGTCTCAGTTTAATTCTTTTTGTCTACTTGTAATGATTAGATGCTCTAAAAACAATAGAGACAATTATCTGAGACAATGTTTTTGAACAAAGGAAATAGAAACCCGAGTAAAATTTTCATCCCAGGTTAACACTAATTGGCTTTCAAGCAACTGGGCCCAGGGTTAAACTACATCTGCGACACAGGCGGTATTAGGGCTGTCCACTATTTTTTAACTACAATAAAAGATGCATTACAATAAGCAGCTCCAAGACTTGCAACTGCAAACAATAACTTAAGAGTAAAGAAAATTCAATTACCATAGTTCTCCTAGGGTTAAACAAGAAACAGACAATTCTCATGATGGTTAACAGTTATTTTCATGTGCCAAATATCTCATGTTTTTACTACAATGTACATGTATAATTTGCACTGTTATATAGCTGAAAATTTTTTCCAACAGTGTGCAAATTGGATACATGACACCTAACAATGAAACTGTTTCCTGCTAAAATGTCTGAGAAGACAATATTGCAAAATCTATGACGTCAGAGGGTAACAGAGTACTGTTACCTGCGAATGTTGACCAATGACTGCTGTTACAGGGAGGTTTAATGAATTTCCAGCTTTGAATCTTAATGACATTGAGTTTCTCAGAAAACAAAATTAGCTGTTTCCCTTGGGACCAGTCGTTAAGTGTTTAACGTACTACATGTCAACTACAGTACTACTTAAACAGTTACATATACTTAATACATATACAATCGATTTACAATGTATGTAGTTCGAAATAAAGAATGATATTACAAGTCAAATATGATTTCGGGTTATAAATTTTGCTTTAACCTAAGTTGATTTTCAATATCCTTTGTCTCCTAGCGATAGACAACAAAGGAAATTGAGAATCACCCTAGGTTAAAAAAAAATCAATCTGAAATCAAATTAATTGACCTGCACATGTAACAGAGATGCAGTTTTGTATCTCATTATATCTTTGAAAGTTTTCCCTGCTAGAGTTTAGTACCAAAATTTCAAAATGATATCTCGTACTTCTGCTACAATGTGCACCTTATATGACACCTTAATTTCTACACCTTGATGCAGTAAATATTTTCATAGGGAGATGGACACCCTTCTAAGATGAAAATCTTAGGAAAGGCACTCATCTTTCTGTGTCTCAACGTTCTATCAGGGAAAGCCAGGTAGCGACACTCTCACACTGAAGTTGTTACTACATTGTAGGTGGTTCATCCAATGGAGGATGTACCTCAGGCTGCTGTACCTGCCTCATGTCAACCTTTACAGGTTTGTACTTTATGACTGGACGAAGGCCACGCCTCCACCGGAAAACGCGACATTCCTTGCTGTAGCACAGACAAACCGACAGCACCAAGACCAGTGTCAGGACAAAAAGGGCAATTAGCACTCTAAAACCAAATGAGATATTTAATGTGTCCCCCGGAGTGTTTTCAGTGACATTCTCATACATCCACAAGTCATTCAAAATACCATCCCTTTGTTTAACATCATGCCCTGCTCCTCCAAAAAGCCAAAGTTGGTTGGCAAAGGAAAATGAAACAGGACTCTCTCGTGGACCAGGGATATTATGCGGATCTGACTTCCTCTTTTCTCCAAAGACTGGCACACCTTCTTCTCTGCTTAATCCTCCAATCCATACCCACTGATGGCTTGACATCTCAAACATCCAAAAATCTGACAAGAGACCAGGCTCTGCAAAGGGTCCACGTGAAAAGTTATCAAATCCCGAGCCACCAAACATCAACAGATCTCCTTGTTCATTCACCCACGTAGCAGCACCTTCCCTGCAACCAGGGTAGTTGTTCTTGGAAGTGATTCCCATTTTTCCATACTTTCCAGCACAGTTGTTAAGACCGGTTGTTCCACTAAGCTTTGTCCACTCTGTTGATTTTGGTGAAAACTGCCAGAAATTCGATGTAAGGCCAGAATGTGTTGAACCACCAAACATGTAGAGATCACCAGAAGAAAGAATCCATGCAGACGCTTTAGAGCACTTATCTGGAACCACGCTTGTGTTGCTTGGTGGCTCGACTTCAATCCATTGCATTTCTTGAAATGTAAACCTCCAGAAATCACCAAATTTCTCTTTTGAGGTTTGCCCACCAAAAAGCCACAATATTCCTTTAGCAGAGTCACACCAGTATGCAGAATGACTTCTTGGAGATGGAGACACCGAAAGGTTGCGCAAGGCAGTCCAGTTTTCATTTTCCATATGAAAAATAAATGTACTGGAAAGTCCAAAAACAACAACCCTATTTCCATAGTGACAAGAAGCACAACCAAAGCATGGAGGTGGCTGCTGTTTGCTGGTAGTTTTGTTTTCAAAGCGATGAAAATTCCAGTCCTGGTTTTTTACATCAAGAGACCATAGTTCGTCCAAAGGTGTATTTCTTCCATACTTTTGTCCTCCATAAATCCACACAATGCCATCTGAATCTTGCCAACTTGATGCTCCAAATCTGCTTCCTGGGTAGTCATGAATGCCATGAAGTTTATTTTTTTGGTTTCCGTGATCACTTCCATCAATCCATGCCCATGCTCCTGCACAGAAAATTATATTAAAAATATACTTAATGTTATGTGCAACCAAAAAATAACAGCAGTGTGTTTATATAGTACCCTATATCACTTATGCTGGATCAAGAAGACTCAAGACAGTTCAATGTACATGTACCCGTACAGTTTGAAGAACAAATGCATGCAAATACACACTCGACCATGAGCTCCTTTATCTTTAATGGAAAGTCAAGTTTGATACACTAGCAAGCTAATTTTCAGTGGCTGTGCCTGAAAATCAGTTCTTTACTGTGATTTTCAACAACATGCAAACTCTGAAGTTCAAAAGCCAACTAGCATTTGCATCTTTCACTACCATCAATCATCTTAACAGAACTCTGAGGAAACACAACTTTACTTGAATATTTGAAGTTCCTCTCATACCACAATAATGTCTTGAACCACACACACATACAATGTACAACCTGTAATGATTAGAGGACTGAGTCGATTTGTGTGTTTCAGGGGTGGGGTGCGTTGAAATTGGGGGGACAGTGAGCTACAGCAAATGAAACAGTCTCAAGATTTTAGATTTCCAGAAATTGGCATCTCTCTGTAGTAAATATACCTTTTTTCAGGATTAAGAAAAATTGTTGATGCTACTGTAGAGATTTAGACAATGCATCTAGGTTTTTCTCTTTTTTAAGATGTCTCAATGTTTTAAAAAGGATAACGATGTACTTAATTTTAATTGTTAGGTTTTTTGGATTTTTCTATGTATGATTTATATGTTTTTGTTTGGTTTTGTCAAGGGTTTTTAACATGAGCCTTTGGCTTGGAAGATTGAGTAATCACTTCCGACGTCTTTGACATAAAATTAATTATCCTATCCTACCCTCAACACAACAAATACAGTTGACTCTCTCTTGATGGACACCTCTATAAGAAAGACGCCTCTGTAAAACAGCCAATTCAGGTTGGTAACTGCCTTTCTTTACTCCCTCTATTTGACTCTCTATAAAATTGACATCTCTGTAAGATGGACACTCAGTGCTGGTGCCAAAGGTGTCCGTCTTAAAGAAAGTTGACTGTACACATTGCATGAATTGGCTTTTGGGCTAAATCACCAGATATAGTGCTACAATCTCGGACAAAACTACTTGAGAAAGTTTTCCCCATCATGTCCACTTTCCTAAGCTACAAAACTATTTCCAAAACAACAACTTTGCGGAAAGAAATCCCCTTCCCCCAGTTCAATGTTGCTTCCTACAAACGCCCGGGGATCAGGCTTTCTTTTGAATACACAACAACATTGCTTTCAGGGGAAGGGGGAGAGGGAGGAACCAGTACAGCTACGATATTTTCTCAACATTTTTGTCCAAGATTGTAGCAATCAGCCCCTCTTAAATTTGGAACCTGCATGTATATACCGGTAATAGCAAATCCAGGGTGTCAAGCAGTACTTAAGATTTTATTTTTGCTCACAGGTAAAGCATCCTTACTGCTGTTCACTGTGTTTACCTTTGGACAATGTTAAACCTGTGATAATTTCGGCTTACAACGCCACAACAAGTGGTTGCCAAGGTTTGCAAAGAAATTTCGTAGAAACCAGCAAGTTAATTTTTCTGTTAATAACAAAAGAGTGACCACTTTTATCGTTTAATCTTAGAATCAGGAGACAATAATAGCAGTTAAGCTGTACACAATACAACGCGCTGAAAAATATAGCAGTCTGAATCTCCATGACCGGCCTTTGCAGTTCTATCACTGTTCTATTTTTGAAGCAATTTTTAATATGAGGAACCACTGCAAAGGAAAGATTTCACATTGAGATCATTTTTCGAAGACAAGCAGTCCTTACCTTCCGTTTTCTCAGCTGTTTTCTCGCTGTGTTTGTTTGATAACAAACTATCAGAACCATGAGCAGCACAAAAACGCAGAGAACCGTATGAACCGACTTCAATCAATATCAACATGAACACTTGCAAATTCGCCATTTTTGCTCTGTATCGTTGTTCTACTTCTGCGCCTGTTACCTCATCTAATTGGCTGCTATTTCCGCGAGTTCCGAAGATGAAAGTTACCTGAAAGATTTCCTATAGAGCTCTCGCAACAAGTACACGTCGTTCTCGGTGCTCGACTTAATCTTAAGACTTACTCCAGCCCCGTCTGATCTTCTGAACGTCTGATCCACAAAAATCCAGGGGACCGATGCTGTCAGCCCAGCCTAACCGACTCACCCGCGGGCGCACTTTCAGCATTGTGTATTTCTACTTTTTATAGCGAGCAAGGTAGCCCCACAGGTTCCAACGTAATGGCATGTTTTCTTTACCAGTATTTCTACAGGGTTTCCTACTCTAAAAGTTTGTTAGCTGCTCTTTCAGCAAGAAGAGGCAAACCCCGGAGACAAACTAGCCTTCCGGGGTACCCGGGTACGACAAACCTTTTTTCCCGACAGTACTTTTTTACAACATCTGCTGACAGGTTTTGCGCCTGCGATCATCAGAGTTTCCAAAATGTCGTCTGGAAAGCAACTCGTCCGAGGCAAGAGTGGCATGCGAATGATTGCCGTTTCTGAAAGTGAACGTTGTCCTTTTTTGCTAGAAGAACCTCACTGGACCGACGACACGCAGGTATAGTTTTTTCTTCATTTCTCTTTGATCATTTTTTGGCAGCTGCCAGTCGAAGGTCGTCGCAGTACTGAACTGTCGCATCAAACGATGCGTTTGTGTTGTCAGTACGTTGTTAATTGTTTGCTTGATAAAGAGGTGGTCTTATTGAAAAGTTGTTCAAATTTTATAGGTGCTTGCAAGGGCAGGGCTAAGATTTGTTGCAAAATGTATATTGGCTTGATGGCCGTAGGTTAATACTGAAATTTATTTTGTTTCACTAGATTCTCAAATTTTAGTTAAAGTGCTCTATTAATGCAATTTTGTTTTTGTGTTTCGTTTCGCAGTTTCCGAATTGTGTGAAGTGCAATCGGAAATTTGACTTCACTCACCGAAGGGTAATGTGTTTGTGTTGCTTAAATTAGATATTGTTAAGTTTTATGGACAGTCCTGTATAAATCTACCTTTGGGAATGAAATATCTATAGCAGTCATGGGTTTGCCTTAAAGTGTAACTAACCCCCACCCCTCCCAAATGTTATTAACTGCTGGTGACTGCCGTAAAGTGCAAGTACCCTCCCAGATGTTTCTCTCCTAATAATCAAAATCTTGCACATTGGTCCCCTTGACTTGTGCAAAAAAATATGATTTAATATTATTGTGATGGATAAAATCCCTGCTAGGTCTCTTACATCCCATCACTGAGTAGGAGCTGGGTATGACTTTGTTATGACGTCATCTAAGGAGACCATTAATTTTGCTGTGTACTCATGAGCATATGGCCAGGAAGTTAGTTAAAGAAAATTTTTTTCATACAAGCTTGCCATTTCCCCCTCCTCTTGATACATTCAGCATATGTATCACCCCAGAATTATGGGATTTTGTGGAGCCTAATACCTCTTTGGGGATTGTGTGTATTGCTTCAGTGGAAAACAACACTGTTATTTGGGAAATATTGATTTCAGCTGTATGATTCCAACTGTATGATTCCAGCGTACACTTCAAGAGAAGTTTGTGTTGCTCGCATGAAAATGATCTCCTTCATGGATGCCACAACAAACTTGGACCCATTCTGCACAGTGCTTTATGGTAAAGGCTTCAAGAACTGCCAAATTTGAAACTTTGAAAAAATCTCAACTGTAAGGGAAAAATGCGATAACAAAACATTTCTGTACAATAGTTAGAACGTTGAGGAGTTTTTTTTAGCGAAAAACATTTTTTGGTGGTTAGTTGTGTTTAATGTAGGTTCTGTTGTTGATATAATAGATTTATTCCTTCATTTGTAATAAATTAATGAGCAGTGGTGTAAGGATTCTACACAGCGCATTTATTACGTACACTAAGGCTCTTTGAGTAAATACGAGGCTGAGGTTGACCTTGTTTTGATACGATCCTCATTAAAGAAATAAACATTATTTAATTATGGAATTTATGCTTGAAAAATACTAGATAGCACAAGAACAACATGTTTTACATGAGAAAGCAGAAAGGGTTGTATCAAAACAAGGTCAGCTCCAGCCATGATTCCATCTAAAACTGTGAAATGGGTTATTGATTTATGCTATAGCATCACTGTAGAAGATGTGGCAAGATATTCTGTGGATCATGTTGTGATCATAAAGTTATGTTACCCAGACTAAGTTTTGTAGATCCAGTCAGAGTTTGTGAAGAGTGTTCGCACACAGCCAAACGTGAAGAAGATTTCTTTGAAAAACATTTGAAAACCCTTTGCAGTGGTAAGTACATGTTCTACATACCATCTGCTGTATACTAGAACCCTACCATATCACTGTTGTTAGACTGCCCTGTTGTTAGTTAGAAATAATAAGAAATTATGTGCATTTAGTTGAATCTTCAGCCTTCATCAGCAGCGTGTGATAAAAATTTTCAAAAAGTTTATGGTAATGATAATTATTTACAGTTTGCAAAAAGAAACCAGATTTTAAGCTGATTAACCCATTCGTCCCTGAGCCGCCCGTAACTGCGTGTGTGGACTCACATCCTTTCTACTGCTTGTGACGTCATCAGTTTTGATTGTCAAGGATAACTTTGTCCACTAACTTGTGCGGAGTGAAGAGATCTATCTTTCAAACCATACCAGAATGAACACAATTCAGATGTCAAGGACACCAGAGAAAAAGGCAAAAAAATCGTGTAACATTGACCTGAAACTTTCCATGAAAATCTTGTTTCACTACCCACCTACCTTTCCTTTCATCTAATCCTAAGATCCCAAAAGCTTTCCTAAAAACTTTTCGCAACAAAATGAAGCATACTATAATAATGCCCAGCAAGAGGAAAAAAAGGCAAGAAAAGCCAAGAAAGAGGGCAGGAGAGAAAGTGAAAAGTTAGCCTGCGAGCAAGCTCTCCTATTTGGGCAAGCGAAGCGAGCCTCGCGAGAATGCGCGAGCAAGGGGCCGAGGAAAGGAGAGCTTTCAACGATCTCTTATAAATTTTCATTTCCACCCCGGAAACCCTGGGACTCCGCAAAGGGTGAAAACTGTCACTGCAAACATGCCACAGATTAGAAAAGTGACAACCGCCTGTCAAGTAAGTTTAGACAGCGGAGGGCACGCAGAATTATTTATTTATAAATCGCTTTCGCAACAGCATCAAGGCAATGTTTTTAATCACTGATATATATATTTTTTTTCACGGGGACATTGAACTTCAACGTGTCCGCTCAGATAGGAACTCACTACTTTGATTCTTGTTTCATTTACTTTTGAAAAGTCGTCCATACTGCAGTGTAGAAGACTACTCCCCATCGCAGTCACCAACAAAAACGTCATATATTTGTCCGTCTGGAACTGGAGAATAACGTTTTTCTGCACTTGGTTCTCTTAAGGTTTACTCCAGCTGCTTCGAACTCTTTCTCTTTTCCCTATTTATGGTCAAACTACACAGCTACACTGTCAAGTACATGTTTCTGAATTTTTCTACCCAGCAGAATTCAATCGGGCGAAGAAACCGATGTTGGAAGACAGCGCTTTAATCATTCTTCACTTTCACTCTCCCAGTTTTCAGAACTAAACAAGGCGCTTGACACAAATGAATACAACTGATGAAGGGTTTTCATTGTCCTTCCACAAGAACTACAAACTCGGTCCGACTTATCCTCGGCACGCAATATTCTCTTTGCAAGAATTACATCAAACGAGCCTGTCTGCATTGAGGGCTGAAACAAGTTCTCGGTACCAATCTGATCCCCCTGAGAATCAAATTTGACACACAGACGAAGCAGGTGCCAGCTTGGCCTGTTATCAATCAACTTTGATCTCCGGAACGTCATTTTTCAGCCAATGGTATTTCCCTTTGTCTGGGCAAAGTACAAATAAAAATTTGTAAGGGATCGTTGTATTAAAAAAGCTCTCCTTTCCTCTGCCCCTCGTGCCTTCGCCGCTCGCTCGCGCATTCTCATGAGACCTGTTTCACTCGCCCAAACTGGAGAGCTTGCTCGCAGGCTAGCGAAAAGTAAAAGTCAAGACTGCTGAGTCACTTTTAAACCCAAAAACTATCTAGAAATTTTACTTTCTGGGTATGCCCGAACTTCGCAAGCTAATATTTTGCATCTGGATCAGAAGGCCGCGAAGTGTATGACCTGTAAATGGCTTTGTGGCAAATAGCTCTTTATAAGCATGACAGTGACCAGAAAACTGCTCAACTAGCTTCGGCAAAATCTCTGGGGGCAAATGGGTTAAGTCTTGTCCTTTGGAGCTTAATTGTTTGAACAGTATTTTATTCTAGTAATCAGGGCTGTCACTAAGATTTCAAGTTGCTGAGGACTTCTCCATTCAAAATTTTGGCAATTAAAGGAGATTGCAATTTTCAGGAATTAAATTTTTGTCACTGAATTTCTTTGGCTGCGTGAGCCATTATTGCCATTTGCATTATTGCAAAATAGTCAGGGGTGTTTGTGCTTGATACAATTTGCTTGTCTTTCTGAGATGGAGTGTAATAGTATAGTTTTAGAATTCTAAAAATCTCAGGAATGTTTTTCTCATAAATATTGCATTTATAGGTGCTCATTTTATAGTGGATAATTCAGAGCCCTTGAAATTCCTTTGCAAACTTGAACAACATTTCCACAGGTAAAAAAAATAATATCATTAGAACATAATTTTAGAATTCTCCCCATTATACTACTACAGGAGAAATTTCTGCCATTTGATTGGCTTAGAGCAGTGGTATTTCAGCTTAATTTGAAATACCTACATGTGAAAATTACAAACCTTTTGCGGGTAGTAGTATAAACAAATAATAGCAGGAATTGTACATGATATTTGGCATAAATACCACTCTGATATTTCAAAATTGTCTCAAATTTCACTTGCCTAATTACATATAACAATTTTGAAATATCAGTTGTGGTATTTATACCAAATATCACTACAAATCATGCTATTACCTATACAAACTTTACAAACCTAGAAGGGCTTGAAAATATTTCCATAGTTTCTCTAGACACCAACAAGCAGCCGTTACTTAAGCGCAATCCCAAAGCTCACAGTTCTCGTCCAGCACACACTTATTTATAGTCATAATATTTTTCATCAGTACCTACAGTGTATTTCCAACCTCAACAGCAATCAGCTTTACTTTCCTGGCCCACATAGGATGCCTGGCAGATGGATTTTCAATTGCACATTTTACAGTCTTTGAGCTCAAATTTTACTGCACAGGAAACATTAGAAACCTCGCTCTGTATATCCTGTGAATCAATGTCACAGATGGGCTTTCATAGCTCGGTGCGTTTGCAAGTCACTTTTTTGGCTTGCCCAGTGAAAATTAATACCAGCTCTTGGAGTTTGGCTAGTGGCTTTTCACTCCCTGAACTTGGGGTTTCTCTGTTAGGTGGCAGATAATTCAGTGAAGTGTTTCCCTTCACTTTTTACCAGAGAGTTGCTGTTTGAATGCTCTGACCACAACAAAACAGCAGTTCATGAACCTGTAATACTGGAAAAAATTGTCTCTGCTCAGCTTGTCTCAAGTGAAGGTACATTAAATTACTTTCTTGGCTTCTACATTGTTTTCAGTCAATATTATAGTATTATTTTTTATACATGTTACTTCTTTTACTGTGGCGTTAGGGGTACCTAACACTGCAATACCATACAAAATATTGGCAAATACCAAAATACTACATCGAGAATCAACAAAATACCTATACCACATTAATCATCTGCCACGCTTGCTTAAAGTTTCATCCATCTAGCATAATGACCTCGCCAACACCTTGAGCAACCTTTGCCATGGCGAGAAATTGTTGGAAGACCTCGAATGACCGTTACAAAGATCAGAAAGCATGGTCATTGTATGCAACAACAATCACATTGTAGATTAACTGCCAAAAATTGTGTAATCATTTACTATACTTACTGTGTATTGGACAGGGGAGCACCAGGGGGGAGCACAAATGAATGGTGCCACAATACCATGAAGGATCTTCTTTTACAAAATACTGTCAGCCAAAAGGATGAAAAACTGCATACTGTTAGGGCCAGATAATACCTGATAATCACACACTAAAATTTATATTACTGAAATACTTCTTGAAAGAAACCTCAGTACTGTAATACCATAGACACTAATGTCCTCCTACATGAGCTTTGAACTTTTTTGAATAGATGGTTCTTCTGTGAGTGGCCTGATATTGAAGTACAAAGAACAAGAGGAGATGCTGGAAGTCAAACTCACTGTGGTGTCATCACCTGACACAGAGAGGAAACAAGCTCTGACCTGGCTTGTAGCTATGCAAAAAGTAAGTACTTACAACAGTCATTAAAATTACTTCTGTCTGGGTACTTTTTCCCCTTTGTGGCATACAGTGTAAGTGAGGTTAAGATGCTATGAGGGCGATGGCAATGAGAACATCAAAAAAGCAATGCTAATTGAATAGGCAGGTTTTTTTTGTGTTTTTCAGTTGTTTTTTGTGGAGTAAGGGATACAGCTGCATGAAAGCTGAACTAAGGTCAAAGGAGAAATCAATGGGGGCGTTCCATGCAGTTGTATCTTTGACTTTATGAAACACAGACACACACACACACACACACACACAAAATACACAAAAAGAAAAACAGCCTGCCAAGCAGGCTAACCCACATGTGGTATTGGCTTTGGGATTGCAACCCGGGCCACGTTGGTGAGAGGTGAGTGCTCTCACTGCACCATCCCTGCTCTGTTATAACAAAACCTGCGGCTTAAAATGTCTAAATAAAACTCTGGAAAACAGTCAAAACAATAGCCTGTACCACAGTGGATTATACCTACAGTGGAACACCGAAAACGCGAACTCGGATGACTTGAACTCCCCACTAACTCGAACAAAGTCCCATTTCCCTTGGATTTTACCCCACTTTTCAGTCATTTTTACATGGTCAACTTGAACTCGGATAACTTGAATTCCCTACTAACTTGAACTAAATTTCCTTTCCCTTGATCAAAAAGTCACTGAAAATTACCCCCAATAACTCGAGTTCTGGTTTTTGTTACTCTACCTGGATGCCATTCCATTAGCTGTTCTTGTTGTATAGTCAGTAAAAACACTAAATCTGATACTGGTTAACACTTACAGCAATTTGATTTTAATTGGTGCAATGAACAGTTCGTATTTTATGATAAAAATGCCTTATCGTGTTACCGTTTCTAATAAAATAAGTTAAACTTGAACTGCAGTAGCACTATACCTTGCCAAAAATGCTGAAAAATCAGTAATTGTTAGTTTTAACACTGAAAATTGAATTTTGCCATTGACCCCGATAACTCAAACCCTTGCTAACTGGAACCATTTTTCATTTCCCTTCAGAGTTTGAGTTATTAGGGTTCTATTGTGTACCCCTGGTTAAGTCTGTCTGCGGGCCAGTGCCAAAATCCTTGTTCCGGGCCCCAACTTAAGTGCCCACCATGATTGGCCTGTTAAAATGCTCTTGTCAATTTGCCAATCAGATTAAAGGGAAATTCAAATTGCACTTCCCATAATTTTGGTTGAGTCTATTTGGAGGTTCATAACAAGCATCGCGGCGCTTCCTTGCAGATATTATTAACTGGGGTTAGATGGCTATCAAAATAAAAGAGTGACTGATGCATTGTGCACATAAAATTCTCCACTTTTGTATCCTAGGCAATAAAGATGCTGTTTGAGGTGGGCAGCTAGATCAGTAAAGCCACTGAGGGAAGATGCAGAGAATATAACCTTTATATGATGGGGCTTATGCGTGGTGATTGCCTTCGCAAACAATTAAAATTCTGTCATCAGAGTTTAAAATCTCTAAAATGCTTTCTAATAGTCATGATCAGGACATTTGTGCTGAACTAAGGCATGATATTGTATCATCATATGACTCAAGTATGATCACTAACACAATAGTGGACAATACAAAGTCGCTACCGAAATAAAAATTTGAGATGATAATTGAAAATTTCAACTTTTGTTTATGAAATTAAGAAACAAGGTCTCTCGGGAGTTTTTTTGCTATAGATGAAAAAACAAAACAAAAAAAAAAAGTCGACAAAGAGCAACTTTCCTATTACAGCATGAATTCACACTGTCCCGCAACAGTGTCATAATCTGAAATGCTCAAATCAGGGCTGCTGAAGGCCATTCAGATTAAAGAATGTATTGTTGTTATAATACAATAAGTCTAGTAATTATCACCCTTTTACTTATAGAGTTGTATATAATGGAGATTTATAAGACTTTTCTGTCGGTGGATGAAATCCTATGGTCGATGTCACCATTCAAAATAAACCTTCTTGGCTCCTCTTTTGCATGGTGCTATCTGTTTTTGGTATGTAACAAAATGGAATAGTTTTTTTTCTAAAAGTTCAAGCTCTCTTGATAGTGAAAGGGTTAAATAAACAATTAGTAGCAAAATTATAGCTTCTTGCTTATCCATAAGCTCAAAGTTGTTGAGATTTTTGAGCAAATACATGTAGATTACAGAAAATTCGTTTGAAAAAAAGAGGAGCATTTTGTCAGGAAGAAAAATACATTTAATAGTTTAATATATACTTTTTCAAGAATTAACCACATAGTGAATAAGATTTGCTGCTTAAGTAATAGCAATGTTTTCAGGTGAAACTCCTTTTCCAAGAAGAATAATTTCTAGGTGTTTCTGCCCTTGTAGGATAATGTACGGCTAGAAATAAAACTTGTAAGTAGCAACTTGATTACGAAGTTTTTGTTATCCTTCCGTATGATTTTAAGTCTGGATTATAATAAAATTCGAGCAATTTCTCGTTGTCTTTTTCTGCTGGTGTTTAATTTTTAAGTTCACCCGGATGAGTGTTTATTCACTTGTCTTTCCTGATCTCTTTCACGGTGTCTCACTCTCCTTCAAATCAGCGTCATTTTTAACAAAGGCGGGGTACTGGAAAGAGGAGGAACTGTCGAGACTTGGGGAAATAACCAAAAAGGAATTCAATTGAAGGCCCGGGATATTGATCAGAGAGGAATAATTGCTTTACATCTCCTTACCTCTGGGCCAAGTGTGAATCGTTAAATACTACCGAAGTCACGTACCTATTAACAACCCGGAAAAAACCCCGATTGTTCGTGAACAAACGCATACATTTCAAGCCAATTAAAACATTTCAGTGTACACACTTCTCCCCGTGATCACGCATTAGGGCTCAAAAGGCTTGGCGAAGCTGCGGTTATTCAGTTCGAACATGGGGAGGCTCCGAAACGAAGTTTAACACCTTGATGTTTTATCCGCGGGCTTTTATACCATTTTTGAAAGAAAAGGTACCCCTTTCATATCCCTTTTATTGACAAATGGTTCCCCTTTCACAAGCCTAGTTTAGAAGGCGTTTTCTCGACTTTGTCACAGTCTTAAAAGCATTTGTTAGCTCTTTTGGGTCTTTTTACCGACCTCCCGGGCCTTACCGGGGGCACTAATGCACAAAAGCCATAATACGTGTCACCCTGGCGCCCGGGGGTACTCCCTAATATGGGCTATATAGGTAAGTGCGGCCCCAAAGGGTAGGGTTTTTCAGCCGTTTTGGTCATAAATTGGGTATCGATTTAGGCTATGTTGCCGCCATTTTGGTCATAAATAGGGTAACGATTTTTGCACTGTAGTCTTGAATGCACTTTTTTAGAAGAAGCTACTTCCTTATCATGTCCCCCTCCTTCCATCCGCGCTTTGCCTTCCTCTCCACCGGCTGCTTTGTAGGCTAGAAAATACAAGCAACAAAAGCCCTTCACAAAATAGGGTATCAAATTTTTGATTAGGTCATAAATAGGGTAGGGAAAATCGCAGATTTTGGTCATAAATAGGGTAAGGGTTTTGAGAAGCGGGCTGCACACCCCTACCCAATTTTTCTGCGAGTACCCCCCCCCCCCCGGGCCCTGGCGTTTATGTATCGAGCTGATGAACCAAACAAAGAAGGAGCTAAAAGAAATATACAGCTCGCATCCTGTTATTAAAAATTCGATTGGTCAACTGTAGCTGGTAAGCCACAAAATAATAAAACCTTCCTGTTGGCAATTCGCCTGTATGTCAGGCGTTCGAAAGGGAAGGAAAAGGGGAATCTGCGCTCTGGGGCGCGCGAGGAAGGAGGGCACGTCCAGCCTGTCATGCTGGCTAGTTGGCAATTTGCCTGTTTATTAATTATTTACCGCAAAATGCATAGGTGCTCTGTTAAAAAAAAACTGATGAGTATGGTGGCCGATATAGGCACTACACACAAATAATAGATGGCAAAACGTACACAAACTTAGAAAAAAACATGCAAACTTAATAAAACGCATGCAAACTTAGTAAAGAGTATGCAAACTTAATAAAACGCATGCAAACTTAGTAAAGAGTATGCAAACTTAATAAAACGCATGCAAACTTAGTAAAGAGCATGCAAACTTAGTAAAGAGCATGTAAACTTAATAAAACGCATGCAAACTTAGTAAAGAGCATGCAAACTTAGTAAAGAGCATGCAAACTTAGTAAAGAGTATGCAAACTTAATAAAACGCATGCAAACTTAGTAAAGAGCAAACAAACTTAGTAAAGAGTATGCAAACTTAATAATACGCAAGCAAACGTAATAATACGCATGCAAACTTAGTAAAGAGTATACAAACTTAATAATACGAATGCAAACTTAGTAAAGAGCAAGCAAACTTATTGATACGCAAGCAAACGTAATAATAAGCATGCAAACTTAGTAAAGAGTATGCAAACTTAATAAAACGCATGCAAACGTAGTAAAGAGCATGCAAACTTAATAATACGCAAGCAAACGTAATAAAACGCATGCAAACTTAGTAAAGAGCAAGCAAACTTAATGATACGCGTGCAAACTTAGTAAAGAGCATGCAAACTTAATAATACGCGTGTAAACTTAGTAAAGAGGATGCAAACTTAGTGATTTGTTAAATTAGCGCACGTTTTAGTACGTTTGCACAAAATTAAGTTTGTATGCTCTTTGTTAAGGTGGCGCATGTTCCGTTAAGTATGAAAGCGTATTATTAAGTTTACACGCGCTTTATTAAGTTTGCATGCGTATTGTTAAGTTTGAATGCTCTTTACTAAGTTTGCATGCATATTATTACGTTTGCTTGCGTATCATTAAGTTTGCTTGCTCTTTACTAAGTTTGCATGCGTATTATTAAGTTTCCATGCTCTTTACTAAGTTTGCATGCGTATTATTAACTTTGAATGCTCTTTACTAAGTTTGCATGCGTTTTATTAAGTTTGCATGCGTATTATTAACTTATTAACTTTGAATGCTCTTTACTAAGTTTGCGTGCGTTTTATTAAGTTTGCATGCGTATTATTAACTTTGAATGCTCTTTACTAAGTTTGCGTGCGTTTTATTAAGTTTGCATGCGTATTATTAACTTTGAATGCTCTTTACTAAGTTTGCACGCGTATCATTAAGTTTGCTTGCTCTTTACTAAGTTTGCCTGCGTATTATTAAGTTTGCATGTGTTTTATTAAGTTTGCCTGGGTATCATTAAGTTGACATGATGTTAATTAAGTTGGGGTGTTTTTTGTTAAGTTTGTATACGTTTTGCCATCTATCATTCGTCTTATGTCTATATCGGCCACCATAGTTGTGCCTTATTCGAGCGCCAATTTCAAAGTATGATATTGGTCACAAAAGTATTAAAGTTTAGGACATTTCTCTTCGAGTTATATGTGCTCATTTCCATAGCCAGTGTACAGACGCCCCTTTCTCTCCAAAAAAAGAAGGACAATCTGGGAGAAGCCTGGACTCTCCAATTTTTTTCTAGGAGAGGGGGCTTCTGTACACTGGCTATCATCAGGGACTTTAAGATGCCACGACGGTGACGACAACGAGAACGTCAAAAATGCAATAGGTGAAAAGGCAAAACAACAACTCTGCACGTGCATCACGCTTTTTTGTACATTTCTTTGCCGTCACTGCACGACTACGACGGGAAAATGCCTAATTTCACGTTTTATGGAGGACGTAAACGGACAACAGCTAAGGTTTCTTTCTCTTTCTAAACTTGAAATTCGGCTTAAAAAGAGTTCGCTTGCATTTGACAAAATAAATGAGTTTGAGTAATCGGGATAGAGATTGCAAGCACGCAAATTCACTTTTCAAGTGACTCCCTATATTTTAATGAAGTACGGTGTACGTAACACTGAAACTTTGACCAATGCAACACGAGAATGTCAGAATAAGACAGGTCAACATCCAGGGTAGCTTCACGTCAGTTGTCATATCAACCTTGCTTTTTTTAGGCCAAATTTTCCGGTAAAGGTATATTTTTGGTGGCAACTTTCCCACATGAAACGTGCGTCTTTGTGTGGCTGTTAAAGAAAGAGATTGTAGAGCTGAAGAAATGAAACCCTTAAACACCTCAAGATCTCATCGACTCCTTGAGTTTGTTCCATCTGTTAGGCCATCGTTTCTGTCTGTGATGTTAATTTTTGTTTGCGGATGCCTCTGGGTGAAGAATACGACAATCAACGAACGACTTGTCGAGCTGGAATCTCGCATTCACTGTTTTTCCTGCGTTAAGAGTATTTCTATCGAAAGTCTTGACAAGATGACTCTCTCGCCGGCAAAAGATACCGCAAAAGATCTTTACAAGAATATGCAGACACATGTCTCAGAAGGGATCGCCTCTAACTCAGGTAAAATCGATGCTTTATGTATGATTATCGTATCTCATAGATGTCGTAGTTTGAGTGAGATAAACTCCCGCTATTACGGACTCTCACTAAAGAGGACACTACCTCGAGGTCTCTATAGTCTCCGCTATAAAGGCACAGTGTTCTCCCAAAATTTTAGCTCAGTAGGTAAGGGACCATCCATGCCCCAGAGGTGCACAGTCCTGGGGAGGAATGGGGCTAGTGGAGTGAGAGACATGGCCTCACCCTGGGAGAAGCCAAGTTCTTTAAAACGTCATTCCCTCATTTTAAGACCTCTTTTACGCAAATCGGCCGTTGATATCTTTAGACAACAACTTAAAACGTTTGATCCCAATAATTTTACTCTGTATTCACTGTTTTCTTTCCAAAATGCGTGGCCCACGAAAAGAAAAGCTGTGAATACTTAAGCACTTTTCCATGTATTCCTTCATTTCCTTGATCGGATCGGATCGCACCTTGCGTATTTTTTAAAACTACTTATTTCATTTTAGTAAACCTTCAAGTGGTTGCTGGCGGTAAGAAGTGTTGCTTCAGGCGGTCAATTGTTCCGGTTACCTCCTGATAAGGAGAGTACTGAAGGTAGTTGACTGTAGTTCGCCTTTTGAAACAAGAAACGATTGGCATTATCTTTAACTGGGACATTTATTTCCTCAATGCATCCCTCCCCCAACCCCTCTGCCCCCGGCAAAATATAGCATGACAGTATAACGTGACTGATATAATCTAACCAGAAATTCCAAAAATTATTGTCGTTCTACGCTTATAAAAATACTGTTCAATAACAGTAACTCTCTGTTCCTTAAAAACTCGCCAAGAAAATTAATTCTGTCGGATATTGCATTTAAAGCCCTTCTAACTATCCAAGTGAATATGTTTTTATTTGACGGGGCGATCTACAGATAGCATTCCTTTCTTGTCATCTTGTACGGAAAGACTTTTCACACGCAGGGAGAGTATTCCATCAAATTGAAGCTTTTCCGAGGGGACCGTGGGAGAGCATTTTTTTTGCTCCAGCGCTGGCTAACAACATCATCGACTACTGTATCTAGATAATCATTAGGCGTAGATGTAGGGGCAATAACTCCACGCAATTTTTTTTTGTTCGCTCCGATTCGACTTCCATTTCTGTTTGCCAGACGACCTGAAATGACCGGCCTCCCCGCAAATATCAACTCCATTGAGGAGGGAGTAGGACGCAAAGCCTTCGGGTAGATTCATCCCCCATTTTGTCTTTTTTGACACAGATTCGACCCATTTCTTAAAGCTAAAAGACGCTTCTCAAAAAAATTCAGTAAACATCCCACACCAGAGAATTTTGAATTGAAGAGGAAGTGGCGCAATGAGGCCACCAAGGAAAGAAGAAAAGCAATCAGGCAGTATTGGAAAAAAGTATCAGATAATGTCAAGTCTGATCCAAGAAAGTTCTACAGAACGTTTAGACCATTCACTGATTTCAAGAACAAACAGGGAAGCAGCGGTAATATCTGCTTGAAAGTTAATGATGTGTTGGAAGGGGATCAAACCAAAGTAGCTAACCACTTTGCTAATTTTTTCTCTACAATGGCTGATGGAATTGGAGGGGACCACGTAAATGACTGTGCGGAAAGTGATTTCATGAATCACAACTCTCTTCTCAATATATCGACTTATCTCAATAAGAGAGATCTACAAGTAAACCACTTTGAATTTAACGAAATTACCTGTGAAGAATTACGAAAAGTCATGAACGACCTAAACCCCAATAAGTCAAGGGGATATGACGGGATGGACCCTAAGATCCTTAAAGTAGGCGCCACTGAGTTAGCTCCATCTCTTACTGTGATTTTTAACCAATCGATTAGAAATGGAGAATGGATAGCAGAGCTTAAGCGCGGAGAATGGATACCGGTACATAAGAAGGATGACAAACAAAGGGATATAAACTATAGACCTATCACGGTGCTGCCATGCGTGAATAAAGTCTATAAGTATTGCTGGGCCAACAAGTCAGTAAGTTTATGGATGATAGACTCAGTGATGCTATCACTGCCTATCGTGCAAAGAATAGCTGTGAGACCACGCTGATTAGGCTGACCGAAACATGGAGAGCTGAACTAGACAGCAAGAAAATTGTCGGCATATTGTCTTCGGATATGAGCAAGGCTTTTGACTCTCTGAGCCCTCAGTTGCTCATAAATAAACTGCAAGCCTACAATTTCTCCGATAAAGCCATACAGCTCATACGATCATATTTTCAGGAAGAAAGAACAGAGTAAGGATAGGTTCTGTAACAAGTGACTGGGTTGTGGTGAAGAGAGGATGTCCACAGGGAAGTACGTTTGGACCACTCATGTGGAATATTTTCCAGAACGATATGCCTAGCATAATATCAGATGCCAATGTCTCGATGTATGCGGATGACCATCAGGTCTTTGTAGCAAACGAAACAACCAAAAGCGTGGAGAAGATACTGGTGGACAATGGAGAGAGGATGACTAAATGGTATCAAGATAATCTTTTAAAAGTCAATTGCGATAAATATCAAGCCATGGTTTTGGGAAATCCAAAAGGAGAAAGGAACGTTGATCTGGATATATGTGGCGAAAAAGTCGAACAGTCACAATCCATCAAGATCCTAGGTGTAAACCTAGATGAGTTGAATCAAGAGAGGATGAACTACTCTCGCTTGAATACGGTAATTTGTTGTCTGAAACATGTGCCAAAACAGGATTCACAGTAAGAGGGGCAGTGATAACGCACAAATTTCCACAAGAACATTCTGAGCGAAAAAATAAAGAAAAAGAAAAAAGAAAAAGGAAAAGAAGGAAGAGGATTGTTGACCTCGTTTCATTTTATTTTGCTTCAATTCGCCGTGGGCCTATCTCCCATAATACACCTTGTTTGGTCCCTTAAAATTTTGCGTAACCTTGGCTTTCAATTTCTCCTGGGTATTACAGTCGTTCCAAGAGAAATTGAAGACAATGTTTACGCAAAAAATTTGGAGGGGGGGAGGGGGAACAAGGTGTACGTGTTGCAAGTTTTACCGACCCAAGGCAAACTTGTTTTGCAGCTAGTGACGTAACCTTCGTGTATGGCGTCACTTCCGGGTAATTTTATCCAATCAAGGGTCAGCATTGAAGCAACTTACAGAAAACTGATTTGTTACAAGACAGAATTGAACGTGGGTGGTAAAACGCGCAACAACGCTTTTCAATTCGTGTTGCACTGATGTTTCAAAACAAGTTCCCACGTTTTTGTTGTCCTTTTTACTGTAGCTTTAGATCCGGTGTCTCTTGCCCGTAAACACTTCCATTTATGGAAAGGGCCGTGTCATTTCCACGCACTCTATGCTGGTGTCAGTAACTGACCTAATAACTAGGTTTAACTTTCGAAGGAGATCCTACTGATACGTACAATTTTGTTAAATTTATTTGTTCTTTAATCAAATCATTTATTACAATTTATACGTAACATTTCTTACCGTAGTTGTACCGTTCTCAAAGATGTCATTTACAACCGTCCGACCAAGAAACCGAAGACACGTTTTAAACGACACTTCAGCTAGTATAACATTACAAGACGTGAGAAAAGAAATCACAAAACATTTTCAACAACTTATGCCCCTCAAGTACTGTACGTCAAGTGAGAAAGTGTGCCCCGCAGGTCCCCCTGGACGTCCTGGTCCCACTGGGGCAAAAGGACCCCGTGGTAGGAGAGGACCAAAGGGGAAAAGGGGGCTTCAAGGTCCCATGGGACCACCTGGAAAATCCGGAAAAACAGGAATGACGGGTCCTGCAGGGCCGAGAGGAGAAAAGGGAGACAAGGGAGAGCCTGGGCCGAAAGGCATGCCGGGACCACCAGGAATACCTGGGAAATCGATATCTGCTCCACAAGTAATGTTGTCACCGGCAGAACAGACACGAGATGAAGGAACAAATACGGCTTTTTATTGCACAATTGGAGGAAATCCTCCCCCTGCCGTCGAATGGCGATTCAAGGGCAGAAAGCTTCTACCAGGTGCAAAGTATCTGATTAAAAAGGGAGAGTTGATCGTTAAGAATCTGAACTACAGCGATGCTGGGCAGTACACATGTCACGCCAGGAACATTCTTGGATCGTCTGAGGCCACTTGCAATTTATCTGTTCAAGGTAACATCAGAGAATAATAGAAACTCCAGGATTTTTCATACTCAGCTGCTTAGTGATGAATATATTTATGCCTATAAAGGGCGTTGACTGGAACCCACCCTTGTTTGAGATTTCGCGAGTAATTTTTTTCTCTTTCTTTTTTCTCTTTCACTTGTTTGTTTTTGTTTGCTTTTTTATTCACTTTTCGTCTCACTTAAATAATTTGTACAGAGAACAATTATTATATAGCATGTACTTTTTGATAGAACAACGTAAAGATTACATAGAAGTTCCGTCGTCCAAAAACTCGCAATTGTTTTCTGTTCGTCGTTACACATATCACTTTCAGTATTCATCTTCTGTCAGGTCTTCCAGTCTTCACAAAAGTTCCACCTTCACCCGCCACGCCAGCACAACGCAGTACCTTTCAAGCAGTTTGTCAAGCTGAAGGTTTCCCTCGTCCTGTAATCAACTGGAGAAGAGTTGGAATATCCTTGCCAGCTGGAAGAACTGAAGTAAACCGAGGTATATTAACCATTAAGAACATGATTCTTGCTGACAGTGGTCTGTACGAGTGCATTGCAACGAACACAGTGGGAACAAAGAAGGTCAGAACCAACGTGGTAGTGCAACGAAAGCCCGGTGAGCTCTTACTACCTTATTGGTACTTAATTTCGTGTTTTTCGTGATTGTGAAAAAATCACGAAATTATAGACCCTTGCTGAATAAAAGTCCCTGCGAAATTTAAACGCGGGAAATTGAACGCCAATTTAGAAAATTCAAATCACAGAAAAAAAAAGAATAACTTTTAATAACTACAACATACACTTTACCTGATACATGTGTTGACAAATACCGACAAGTTATTAGCTGGTTTTATTCATTTGCTACGTTCCATTCCGTGATTGTGTCTTCTGTTGTGAAATAACGTCAATATGCGTTTTGCTTATATTATTTTATCTCGATATTTCAAAAAATTCAGAAGACTGAAAGCTAAAATCAAGTTGAGAAAGCTTGAATCTCGAAATTTAATGCCCCTTTTCATGTTTACCCATAGGAAATCGCGAAAATAAAACCCTGCGATCGAAATACTGTCTTGCCAAAATAGCGAAATTAAGTATCCGCGGTAAGAGATCGTTCTGGTAGAGACCTGCATCACGTTATTTTGTATCGCCGATGAACTAAACTTCATTATAACATAGCTAGAATATTTGCGCCTAATCAAGAAGCTGGAGTTGCTCACGGCTGCGCCTCGAGCAACTCTTACGCCTCCTTCGTGTTCCCCAAACTATATCTTCAGTGACATACGCATAGGAAGATTGTCACCCATACATTTTGCAATATTGTCCACCCAGAGACTTTAAATGGAAAATGGTTTTATTGCTAGGTATTGTTAGATGTCATGTCTCCTTGAGAGTTATTGCTTTTAGGTAAAGAAAGTTTCAGGTATATACCAGTTACTAGTGACTTGGTTTTTCTACGTTTACACGAGAGCCTTTAACAAATTCCTAAACTATTTTGCCCGTTATATTCTTTTTGATTTCGTTTTGCATTATTTTTTCCACTTCGACTTCTAAGAAGTCCGAATGGTAGTCAAAACTAGGGTTGTACAGTTTTGTTTACAAAGTTGCGTCTGGAAATTTTGGTAGAATGAAAAATTTTGCTTGCCGCTATCCGCTCCATTTTCGGCGGGAAAATGTGGAGGCCTTAGGTGTCGCTGGTATTTTTTCGTGAACCTGTTGTTGCATACTGCAGAATATGCGACGGGTTTCTAGCTTTCTGATTGGCTTTATTCTTTATGACATGGAATAAATGCAATGTGGGCCTTCTGCTGTGCCATATCCCTGGGCGCAATAAATAAAGTTTAGATCAGTGATTGCCTTCTTGTGCGGGTGCTAATCACTAGCTAATACCTTTGAAAAGTCACTATACTCAATGTTGACATTCATCACAGCTTTTAGTTTTAGGGAAAGTTTTCTCACGATCCGTCTATTCTGATCACGTCATTTTTAATCGCGCCTTGGTGGTCGATATTTGTTCAGATTTAGAAGACTCCGTTATTGTGGGAAACAGCGGAAATTACCTGAGGATTTTAAGAAGCTGGCTTTCCCCTGTGGCACGAAGCGTGAATTCTGCCTGGAAGCGTTGTTGGCGTGCATCCGTGGATGGCTGGGCTTCAAGTACATTTCACTCACGATGTGATGGCAAGGGACCAACTGTAACAATAGTAAGGGTCGGAAGGTATATTTTTGGAGGATACACTAGTATTTCATGGGGTATGTTGACATAATGAACTGAAATAATTTTACTACGGTGACTAGCTTTGTTGTAAGGCCGAAAACAAAGTTATGTAATTGAACATTACGAAAATAACGTAGCCATTGGATACACTGATAAAAAGTTTCCGTTTTATGGATCTTGTTCTAGCCGTGCTCCACCCCTAAACCTCCCATCCCATCCCCATTCTCTGAATTTGAGACCAATCCTTATCATTGGTTAGTTTCGTTGTGAACTACTTATCCTGCCGTAAACTGTTTTAAAAGCCTGATATCAAAGTCTGTCAATAAGAACTTTTCTTTATATAAATGGAAGCGGCCTCAGGTGAAGTTCATAAATTCGTTTATATAAGGAAGGAAATATATTAATGAACTTTAATTTCGCTTCACGATGCATATGATCGAAGGATTTACAAGTGAGTATCAGGATAGCGTCGCTAGTGACAGCTGTTTTAAATTTCTTTTCTCTCTGACAGATTCCAGCGGCAATAAGTATCAGTACGACTCCAAAGCCTTTCTGTTTTCACTGGTGAACAAGCCAGGATGGGCACCTGTTAAACTGCCTCAAACAGGAAGATATAGTTCTAACAGAGCATATTCCGTACGTTTTCGTTCATCGTATGGGCCCACATTCGGTGGAGGACATGACATTCACATTTCCAACTCGGCGTCGTCCAATAGCCATTCATACAGCAACCTTGGCCATACTTACAGCGCACCGAGCGGGTACAGCACCTTCGCCCAAACATTCCTGGCAGGAACTCACAACTTCACTCCAGACGAAGTGGAAACCTTTTACGAGTCAAACTAAAAGAAATAATTAACCATAGGCCACATCGATTTTGATGTTAATTCCGATAGTCTGCAATGTAATCACGTCGTTAAAAAGAATTTACTTAAAACTAGTCCTGTATCAGTACGCGTAAGAAACGACAAACGATAAAAAAAAATAAGACCTACAAACAAAGCAAAAGCCTTTTTCTATAGTGAAACCTAAAGTAAATATACCAAAAACCGGTTTATCCAAAAAGAGCACGACCTATCCGTATATGGACTAAACGTCTTTTCATTGTTTGACCATTAAACACTCGCGACATGTTCGCCTACGGGTGGACCTATTTTTGATTTCGTTCTTGATTTTTTTAAACAAAAGACAAAAGCTTACAAAAGAAATAAAAAATTCAATAATACATTAAAAAATATATATTTGATAAAAAGCAAAAACTTCAAAACAAATATGAGAAGGTTGAAATTGAAAACTAAGAGACGAAAAGAAAAATTGAACCCTCGACTTCGTCTTTTAGTTTTGTATATCTGTCTCGAATTCTGCTCACCTCTTTCGTGTTTATATCAGGCTATGCAAACACGGAAAAAGTCTTCTATTACTTGAATATTTAGTGTAATCGAACTAGAGCCAATCACGATTACAAGCTCTATGTAAAAGTTGCCATCCTAAACTGCGACAAATATTCTTTCTTTGTACGGATCATTAATGCAAGGAATAACTTGTCAAAAGATGTTGTACACACAGGATCGCTGACTTTAAGTTTTGTAACAGATTAAGGATTTATATAAATATTGATTAATACGATTGTAAATAGTTTCAATTATGATGTGCAAATGATGTTTTTTAGTTTTTAGGTTTTAGATTCTTCTCCCCGCAAATTTATAATGTTTTAGATTCTAGATTTTACCTTTTCATCTTTTATTTTGTCTAGATATCCACTTTCGAGAAGATATTTTGTAACTTTAGCTTTTATCTCTTGAATAAAGTATTGTATTGTATTATAATATCATTGGCTGTAATTCTAAGGCCCCGTCCACTAATAGGTTTTCGTTTGAAAACGCATACATTTCGATGCGTCATGCCTTCCGTCCACACTACCGCGCTGAGCGTTTTCATCGAAAACGCATCGATTTGAAAATACTCTTGAAAGTGGATCAAAACGAAAACGCATTCACACCGTATTTGAGTGGAAGGTCGAAAACAGTAAAATCGTATCGAAATGAAATCGACGACCGAAATATCGCAGCTGCTTTTGTTGGTAGCACGCGCATACTAGAGTTCATGACCCACTTACGTCACGAACATTTCTACGGTTTTGAAACGTTTGCGTGTGTACAGTCGGAAACGCATCGAAATGCCGGTAGTAGTATGCACGCGAATCGATCGATATATTAGTGTGGACAGGGTCCAAATAGGGAACGGTAACGCGAACGTCAAAAAGGTATTAAGCCGTTAGTAAAACAACAACTATGCACGCGAATCACGCTTTTTTTGTACATTTTTATGCCGTCACATGCAGCACCACTACGACGTGCCGTAACTGCCTCATTTCACGTCTTGTGGAGAGCATGAACGTAACATAGAAACAGTCCTTTAGAATTCAACTCCAGAAAAAATTCACCTACATTTGACAAATTGAACCGCATGGAATAAGAGCAATGAACTTGGAAAGAGCGCCAATTCACTTTTCAAGAAAGGTTTTTGCCACTTTCGTCGTCGTGGGTAAAAATTCTCCGAATATGTCGCACACGAAAGGCCACACAGGCATAAACCTTGGAAAGACTGGAGTGACTTCATGCATTGAATGGTTTCAATTTTTTATCATTGATAGCGTCACGGTGAAAGCCAGCAAACGGTTTTAGCCAATTTGCGCCGTTTCGCCGTGATCTTTGAGAGAAGTGCATGAACATGGTATGCGATCAATATCGAAAATTATCTCATTAAAAAGCAAACTTTTAAAGTTCAATTGAAGTTCTTCTGTGGAAAAAATTACTTTGAAGTTTTTTAATGTTAATGTACGTAATTTTTTTTAGTTTACTTAGCCCATAGTGGAGAGGTAGTCCGGCAGTTGTCTCCCGTTTTGTGAAAGTTAAATTAATACTTACAGGAAAGCAAACAGAAATAAATTTCCAAGACTGACAACGTAATTTTAAATGTGAATAATTTTAAACTTTACTTTATTTGAAATATTTTTACTTTTATTTCCTAAGTCTACTGTGGAAAGGCTACGTATACATTAGTCGACTTCAGTTTTGTGGGAATGGAATCAATACATAGAGAAAGGAAACTGGGAATGAAAGTTCCAAAAAATATATTCTGAAATACCAACAAAGTATAGATTGTAAATAAATCTGTTCATTCAGGGTGCTACTACCCGAGTAGACGGCTACTCTTGACAACGGTGCATACCGACTGCAAAGCTGACTAATTGTAAAGACAAAATGCGACATATTTGTCTTTAAGACAATTCCTCTACGACAGTGGTGACTGCAGCGATGTATTTTGCTTGTTTGTCTTATCCATAACTGACTCAAGAGAGAACAAAAACCCTTCTAATGTGTTTTCCACCGCCTCAGTGCAATATTTTCCTGGGTGCGAAACAACAATAGAGAAACTTTAGGGCGAGAATGTTGAAGATTATCAAGACGAAGGTCGCTAACTCTTGTCTTAAAGGGGCCAAAACAATAATGCGAAGTTCATGATTGCCATACCAGGCAACACCGTCGATATAATAGCAGTGTAGGGAGTTGCCCGGAGGATTTGTCGTTCGAAATCCTCGAACTTTATGTTCAATTTCGCTCCCTATAATAGCAAATAGCTGAGAAACGTCTAAAAGTTCAAGAATTTCCTCATTTTAATTTGCTTGATGCATCTGAGTGAACAGCAATATTTGTAGTTTTCCTCAATATGAATGTTCCACGCGTACATGGTCACTATCACTAGAAAAACACTTTGATAAACAAACTGACATGTCACGCCGGAAGGAACCAGGTATCTGTACTTGTTTTCGTTCCTGAAGCAGCAGATTAAAAGCCTGAGAGGATTCGTATATAAGAAAATAATCCTATGCAGTTAAGCAAGAAAAAGCAAGAAGCAAGCAAGAAAAACGGCAGATTCATATCTTTTCCCAGTCGATTGTTATTACAAACTAATGCTGGACGATCACGCTGAAGCAAGTTAAGGGGGGCTTATGAAAGGGCCTTCAAAGGCTAAGGGCACTAGCTAATGGCGTGTGTGGTACGGTGCTTGTGCAAGTCGCGACAGTAGCCTATTGTTCAATTCAGTTTTATATCCCTATTTTTCATATTTGTCTGTGCTATTCCCCCGAAAAATGCATGTTGCAGATTAACAACCCTGTTCTTCTTTGAAACAAATATTTACCTTCGCGTCTTTCCAAGTAGCCTCACTAGTAGAAAACCAGTCTAGTCTCTCGATGGGCAAAGCTAACGGCGCAGCGCACTATTAATGACGTCAGAGTGCTAATTTGCAATGTTTTGCCACTTTTGTCATTTGAATGAGAAAAGTGAGGAATTCGCTAGATGTTTTAAATTTCAATTTGGTTGTCTGAGTCTCAGTATATAAATAGTAGCTTTGCGCAGCGCTATTTTACGTTTGACGACCCAATGCGTGCCGTAACTTGGGCTGGAAATTGGCGCGGGCTTTAACAGGAGGGTAATAAGTAACATCAGCCCTTGCACAGGGTTTTCGAGCACGGGGTATTCAATGAGAATACAAAAGTGGTTGAAAAGAAAGAAAAAAGTAGGGGTCTTCTCGCCGGTCCGGCCAATCCAGTTCCTTACCCCACTTGTCGCTGCTTTATTTGAGTGGCGCACACCACTCCAGAGTTTGCGAGACACGTATTTCTAGCATACGGCTATTTCAAGAAAGGTCGTCGGAAAAAGTACACGCGACAATCCCGAAAGGTATTGTGGTGGTTTTGAGTTCACTGTTCTTCAAAGAAATTGCAAAAATGGCACGAGAGGCAACAAAAGTAAGTAAGTTTTCCCATATTACCTTTTTTCCGACAACCTTTCTCGAAATAGAATTAAATTTTAACCCGGGTTTCTTTTTCTTGTTATTAAAAGCCCTTTGTCGGATAGTTTTCTATATTTTTTTTTAGAGTATCCACTCATCAAATTGTAGGCAAAGAGAATTAAACTGAATTTGCTTTTTAAGTTCTCATATTTGAGTTCAAATTTCGCACTAACCCTGCGTTATCTTAGCCCAGCTTCGAGCAGCCCGGTCTCCCCTGGACGCCAAAACCCAGTTGAGGTCATTGTTAAGGTCTTCCACAAACCATACCCTTTGGAGCGGCATTTGCCTGCGTGCAGACGTCTCCTATTTCCTTTGTTGCACAAAGGAAATAGGAGACGTCTGCACGCAGGCAAGGGCGGCATATGCCCATAAGGCAATTATAAGGGACTACACTCTTTCTTTTTTATAAGAATATTGTTTTTCCGGCCCAAGCTGAATATTCCTATTTTTCTGCCGAGTTTAGGCTGAAAATATTCTTGTTAAACAGTCAAACCTCTTTAATACGGACACCAAAGGGACAGAACCAAGTGTCCGCTTCACAGTGGTGTCCGTATTATAGAGGTAGGGAATGTATGATTTTTGGAATTTCTGGAACCAAACGAACTGTCTGTTATAGAGAGGTGTCCGTATTATAGAGGTGTCCGCAAGGAGAGGTTAGACTGTATGACATTTCCGTTTTGCCGTTTAGAGAAAGGAATAATTTTATACAGTTAAGGAAAAACATGTCATTGTATTGTATTTACAGACTTTCAACGCACGAAATTATATTCTTTTCACAATTTCAGCCTCAGGTTTATTCTTAAAATATTCTTAAAATTTCGCAAATTTCAGCCTCGATATAAAATATATTCTTATAAAAAAGAGAAGAGTGTACCCCCCCCCCCACCCTGGGTTCTGCAATACGAGAATGTAAGAATAAAGTAGGTAAAAAACCAGGGTAGCTCCTTTACGCCCGGGGGTACTGCCATACATTACCTATACGGGTATGTGCCGCCCTAAGGGGTCGTGATTTTGAAGCTCCTGATTTAGAACGGGGTATCCATTTCAGAGGCGTTTTCTAGAACGGGCTATAATATTTCGAACGCACTAAAGCTCCAGTTTTGTAAGCAGCCATTTGAAGTATTCAAGGACAGATTGCTTTTAAAAATACGGTTCAATGCGTTAACAAGCAAACTGTTGCACTCTTGTTGCACTCTAGAACGGAGTATAAAAAATTGGCCCATTTCTAGAACGGGGTATAAGTTTTAGGGCGAATTCTACAACGAGGTATAAAAAATTGGCCCATTTCTAGAACGGGGTATCAATTTTAGGGGAATTTTTTTTAGAACGGGGTGCCAATTTGGAGTCCCGGGCGGCACATACCCACCCAAAAAATACCCGAGTGCCCCCCCCGGGCCTTTACGTCAGTTGTCAGATTAAATTAAACATAAATTTTTGCTGGCAACTTTCCCACAAACGTTCGTATTTGTGTGGCTATGAAAGAAAGACGTTGTGGAGCTGAAGAAATGAAACCCTTAAACACCTCAAGATCTCATCGAATCCTTGATTTTGTTCCATCCGTTAGGCCATCGTTTCTTTCTGTGATGCTAGTTTTTGTTTGCGGATGCCTCTGGGTGAAGAATACGACAATCAACGAACGACTTGTCGCGCTGGAATCTCGCATTCACTGTTTTTCCTGCGTTAAGAGTATTTCTATCGAAAATCTTGACAAGATGACTCTCTCGCCGGCAAAAGATACCGCAAAAGATCTTTACAAGAATATGCAGACACATGTTTCAGAAGGGATCGCCTCTAACTCAGGTAAAATCGATGTTCTAGGTATAATTATCCTCTCTCATAGATGTCGTGCTTTGACTGAAATAAACTCCAGCTACTACGGACTCTCGCTAAAGAGGACACTAACTCGAGGTTCCTATAGTGTCCGCTGAAAAAGTAGTTGACTGTAATTCGCCTTTTGAAACAAGAAACGATTGGCATTATCTTTAACCGGGACATTTCCTCAATGCACCCTTCCCCCAACCCCTCTGTCCCTGGCAAAATATAGCATCACAGTATAACGTGACTAATATGATCCATCTAACCAGAAATTCCAAAAATTATTGTCTTTCGACGCTTTTAAAATGTGACAGTGTCAATTTCGGTGTATAAAATACTGTTCAGTAACGGAAACTTGCAAAGAAAATTAAGTTTCAGTTTTATTTCTGTCGGATATTGCATTTAAAGCCCTTCTAACTATCCAAGTGAATATGTTTCTATTTGACGGGGCGATCTACAAATAGCATTCCTTTCTTGTAATCTTGAGGAGAGACTTTTCACACGCAGGGAGAGAATTCCATCAAGTTAACGCTTTTCCGAGGGTACCGTTGGAGGGCATTTTTTTAGCTCCCGCGCAGGCTATCTACATCATCGACTACTATATCTAAATAATCACTGGGCGTAGATATAGGGGCAATAACTCCGTGCAATTTTTTTTTCGTTGGGTCTAATTCGACTTCCATTTCTGTGCGCCAGAAGACCTGAAATGACCGGTCCCGGCTCCCCACAATAATCGGCCCCATTGAGGAAGGAGTAGGACACGCAAAGCCTTCTGGGAGATCCGACCGCTAGTTTGTCTTTTTTTGACATTACCCATTTCTTGATTGGGTGTTGCCCTCACGGGTAGCACAATAATAACAAGAGTGCCTGTTGTTTATGCCTTGTTCTTTTCTTTAAAAAAAAAAAAAAAAACGTTCCGACAAGCGGGTAAAAAACGTCCCCAGCGGCGAGTTATCGGCGGGGAGCGAGGAAAGACGCGCAGGCTAACAAGTGGCGGGGTATTCTGAAGTTCAGCCGATGCCGCTTAATTAGACCAAAAGATTCTCCTCTCTTCGTTCAGACAATCCTCAAGGAGAGGTTTCTTTTTCAAGTTTTCTTTACGGTAATATACGATACTTCTAGTTTGTAATTACTTCGTGTGAATTACTTTGCATTTCTTTTTGGATTGTTATTGTGATCATAAGGCCTCTTATCATTGTCTTATATTAAGTAAAAAGCATTGGAGTTAACATTTTGATGCACCAAAAAATTTATCGCCGGTCTTAATTACCCCTTTTCCTTCCCTTTCGGACGCCTACCACGTGGGTTAGGTCTTACAAAAGATAGTTTACTTTGAAGCTTTTTGGGTTGTCATTGTGGGACAGGAATATTGAGTGATGGAGACAGCAATGCGTGATTAATCTGTACAATTTAGTTAAGGATTGACTGCAAAGGGTAAAGTTTCAAAAGTTAGAGTGCTGTAAGGACCTGTAAGTGGGCCAAAAGTTAAGCGTAAGAACGTCTGCGTAGGCACCTTGTGTATTGAGTGGAAAATTAGACTGTGTTATAGCGAGTAGGAAATAAGACCACCCCACCCCCCTTTGATGATAGGTAATAGCAAGAGACTATAAAGGGGACAGAGAGGGCATCCCCCATATACACCCTATTCCATAGGTAATTCGTCTCGAGTTATTTTTAACACCACAGATCTCAAGGGGGATTAGACAACAGCCAATCACATAGCGCGAATGTGTTCCGCGTGTATGACCCACACTGAGAGCCACGCTTCCTTCACGAAATGACGCAGAACAAAATGGGGGAAGACGCGAAGAGCGATTTTGCTATTCCTTTTGTCGACGAAAACGACTACAGCGAGATTTCTGCGAAAGCTGTGTCAGCGAAACCGAAATTAAAAAAGAATCGCCCTTCCTCTCTTGTATAGAGCTAACAGTAGAGCAGGGAAATCCTTAACACACTGAATATTCTCTCAGGATCATTTATAATTTACAGTTTGAAGAGAGCAATTTCTGGTTTGATGTTTATTTTTTTCAGTCTTTATAGCGATTATTCCTACCCACTTACTTTGTCAATTGTAGGCGAACCCTCCTAAAGCTGAATTTCAAGGGATCATATTCAAGCTCAGAAAGAGAATAGAATTTCGTCGTTGCTTATTTGCGTCCTCCATAAAACGCGAAATTAGGCATTTTCACGTCGTAGTCGTGCAAAAACGGGAAAGAAATGAACAAAAAAGTGTTTTGCACGTGCGAAGTTGTTGTTTTCCTAATTAAACCTATTGTTTTTTTGACGTTCTAGTTGTCGTCCGCGTCGTTGGATCTTAAACTCCCTAAATTGTACAAACGACCGGTTTCAATAGACCGGCCAAAGTTCTCATTTTATTAAAGCACTGAGGTTACGACTACTTCGAGTTAAACTGATTTCACGGGTTGTCAAAGAGTCCAGCGATTCCTTTTTCCCAGGTGAGCGCCGACACATTTCGCTTCAATATTCAGGAATGCTCTCGATCTTTTTACGCTTTCATTGCCTCTCGCCCGACATGTTTTGCACGGCGTTTGGTCATGCGAAACCAGACGAATTACCTATGGAATAGGGTGTATATGGGGGATTCCCTCTCTGTCCCCTTTATAGTCTCTTGGTAATAGAACACACGAGATCTATCTTGTTGTGCAAGTCCGCCATATTGGTCTCGTCTTGTAGTTTTGCAGTGGGAAAATAGCGCCCACCTGTTGCCGGCCAGTAACAATAGGCACAATTAAGTTGAATCAAGAGAGAATGAGCTACTCTTGCTTGAATACAGTAATTTGCTGCCTAAAACATGTGACAAAACAGGATTCACAGTAAGAGGGGCAGTAATAATACACCAATTTCCACAAGAACATTCTGAATGAAAAAAAAAAGGAAAACTACCACCTACCTGACATTGATCAGTAGGTCTTGTTCTATCAAAATCCGCTATCAAACCTTCTCTGACCCGATCATTGTACGAAACCCCTCTTTCAGGGTCCAGGCTTCGGGACTAGAAAAGAAGAAAGAGGATTGTTGACCTCGTTTAGACTACTTTATTTCTTTTGCTTCAATTATCCATTTGCACATCTCCCATAATACGTACACCTTGTTTGCCCCCTTAAATTTTGCATAACCTTTAATCTCTCTTGGGTATTACAGTCGTTCCAAGAGAAATTGAAGACAATCTTTATGCAAAAAATTTTGGGGGGCAAAACGAGGTGTACGTGTTGCACGTTTTACCGGCCCAAGGCAAACTTGTATTGCAGCAGGTGACGTAACCTCCGTGTATGGCGTCACTTCCGGGTAATTTTATTCAATCAAACAGAATTGAACGTGGGTGGTAAAACGTGCAACATCGCTTTTCAACTCTTGTTGCGGCATTGTTTCGAAATAAGTTGAACGTTTTTGTTGCTTGTTTTATCGTAGCTTAAGACCCGGTGTCTCTTTCTCGTAAACACTTCCATTTATGGAAGGGATCGTGTCATTTCTCCTCACGCTATGCTGGTGTCAGTAACTGACCTAATAACTTGTTTTAAATTTCGAAGGAACCTTCTAATACGCACAACCTTGTTAAATTTTATTTGTTTATTAATCAAATCAGTTATTATAATTTATATATAACGTTTTTGACTGCAGTTGTAACGTTGTCAAAAATGGCATTTACAACCGTCCGACCAAGAAACCGAAGACACGTTTTAAACGACACTTCAGCTAGTATAACATTACAAGACGTGAGAAAAGAAATCACAAAACATTTTCAACAACTTATGCCCCTCAAGTACTGTACATCAAGTGAGAAAGTATGCCCCGCAGGTCCCCCTGGACTTCCCGGTCGCAGTGGGGCAAAAGGACCACGTGGTAGGAGGGGAACAAAGGGGAAAAGGGGGCCTCAAGGTCCCATGGGACCACCTGGAAAATCCGAAAAAACAGGAATGACGGGTCCTGCAGGGCCGAGAGGAGAAAAGGGAGACAAGGGAGAGTCTGGACTGAAAGGTATGCCGGGATTGCCTGGAATGCCTGGGAAATCGATATCTGCTCCACAAGTAATGTTGTCGCGGGCAGAACAGACAAGAGATGAAGGAACAAATACGGCTTTTTATTGCACAATTGGAGGAAATCCTCCCCCTGCCGTCGAATGGCGATTTAAGGGCAGAAAGCTTCTGTCAGGTGCAAAGTATCTGATTAAAAAGGGAGAGTTGATCGTTAAGAATCTGAACTACAGCGATGCTGGGCAGTACAAATGTCATGCCAGGAACATTCTTGGATCGTCTGAGGCCACTTGTGATTTATCTGTTCGAGGTAAGCTCAGAGAATAATTGAAACTTCAGGATTTTTCATACTCAGCTGCTTAGTGATGAATATATTTATGTCTATAAAGGGTGTTGACTGGTTCACACCCTTGTTTGAGATTTGCTGGTAATTTTTTCCTTTTTGCTTTCACTTTCTTTTTTCTTTCTTCCTTTTCTTCTGTTTTAATATTTGTTTGTTTTGTTTTGTTTTTTAATTCATTTTTATCTCTCTTGCAATAATTTGTACAAACAATAATATAGAAGGTTCGTCGTCTAGGTGCCTGCAATTGTCTTCTATTCGTTTTTATACATATCACTTTCAATTTTCATCTTCTCTGTCAGGTCTTCCTGTCTTAACAAAAGTTCCACCTTCACCCTCCACGCCAATACAACGCAGCACCTTTCAAGCAGTTTGTCAAGCTGAAGGATTCCCTCGTCCCGTAATAAGCTGGAGAAGAGTTGGAATGCCTTTTCCAGGTGGAAGAACTGAGCTAAACAATGGTACGCTAACCATTCAGAACTTGATTCTTGCTGACAGTGGTTTGTACGACTGCATCGCGACGAACGCGATGGGAACAAAGAAGACCAGAATCAACGTGGTAGTGCAAAGAAAACCCGGTAAGCTCTATATATTCAACACAAAAAGTTCTCGTGTTCTTTTAATGAACCTTAGATGTTAATTTTCATGTATGAGCGTAAGTCCTGTTTCGAACATCGTACTACTGCCGTGCTAAGCTGGCTCGACTAAAACTCGACTGCATCACAACACTAGCACGACTTGGTTTCAGACGTCGAATTTAATTCAGTCGTATAGAACGACTGCCGAAGAAACGGTATAGAAAACTTTTAAATGTATTCTTATGTATTTACAATTTATGAATTGAGTTCGGCACGGCGATAGCACGACGTTTGAAACCAAGTCGAGCTACTGCCGTGTAGCATAGCAAAGCTTGCTGTGCTACACGGCAAGACGGCAGTAGCACGACTTGGTTTCAAACGTCGCGCTAGTCTGCCGTGTTAAAGTCGAATTTAATTCGATCAATTTAGTTCGGCACTGCAGTAGCACGACGTTTGAAACGGGCTCAAGCAGGATTTTAGTGAACAAATGAATAAAATGAAAACACTGAAAGTAGTCTTTAAGAAGGACGTGTTTCAAAGTAGGTCTGATTTTTTTTTTGATGTTACGCTGCTCCCGGAAATTTTCCGCAGAAACAACCGTGACCAAAAACTTCATGCTCCATTTAATTTCCACCTGGATTTTTCGGAAACTTTTTGTAAACAATACCCAAACAAGTTTCAGCTATAAAAAATTTTCAACATGGGCCTGCTGCCAAGCCATCCCTGGGCGTAATAAGGCTTAGATTTTACTACCTTCTTGCGTTTTAATACCGTTGAAAAGTCAATATGCTTAATGTTCACATTATTCACCAGGGCTCAGTTTTAGTCTCAAAGAAAGTTTTTTTCATGATACTTCAGTTCTGTTCACGTCATTAATGTTAATGCTGCTCGATATTTGTTCAGATTTCATAGACTCCGCAATAGTGGGAAACAGCAGAAATTACTCGAGGATTTTAAGAAGCTGGCTTTCCCCTGTGGCACGAAGCGTGAATTCCGCCTGGAAGCGCTGTTGGCGTGCAACCGTGGACGGCTGGGCTGCAAGTACATTTCACTCTCGATGTGATGGCAAGGGACCAACTGTAACAATAATAAGGGTCGGAAGGTATATTTTTGGGGGATACACCAGTGTTTCATGGGGTAAGTGGACATTATGAACAGGGATAATTTTACTACGGTTACTAGCTTTGTTATAAAGCTAAAAACAAAGTTTTACATTTAGGAGTATGAAAATAACGCAGCCTTTGGATACGCTGATAAAAAGCGTTGTTTTTATGGATCTTGTTCTAGCCTCGCTCCACCTCTTTCCCTCGCATCCCATCCCAATTCTCTCTCCAAGTGCGATGATATATTTAAAGCATAAACTGAATATTTTCTGACATGAAAGAGATGTTTGTAGACTAAATCATTTAAGGATCCGGTCCAGTCGGTGACTCCTTGACAGTCCTTAGACATGTAACTGAGGGCGCTTCAGTACTGTTTTCAATTTCTTGCCTGTTTCATTGTCAAAATGACCAGTTCCAGTGACCATTTTTTTGTTGGTGATCGCCCATATTATGGCACTGACCTCTTTAGGGAGGTATTAAAAAGTCAATTTTTATCCTGTGTATTTGAGACAGAGAAAGGATTACAAATTTAGATGTAACTTTCAAATCAAAAGGAGTATTACGATGGAAAGATTAGAAATATCTTTAATTGAGGGAAAGAGGATTAGGGGCATTGCGAAATTACGAGATTCAAACTAACTTTGGAAGGGTGAAAAAAAAATAATTTAAATGACCACGGATTAAAAGGCTGAGCTCTAGAATAAATGAAAGGAGGGGGGTTCTCAATCGCAATCGAGTAGTAGTCGTAATCGGAGACACAAGCGATAGGCACCTATGATCTCGTAAACAAGAAAAATCGAAGCTATTAGGGTGACGGATTCAGCTGACTCCTCAATGCACCTAAAAGTTAGAAAATGTACCTAAATGTAAATGCTGTTGTGGCATTTTCATCGGTTGTTCGTTTATTATTTCTTAAACTTTGATAACTGTGATTTTAAAGTTAAGAGTTGCTTTGTTTTGTTTTTACAAATAAAAAATGTCAACTACAACTCAAACAAATTTATATGAGGAAAGCAAACTAGTATTAACAAGCATTTATTTCGTGACTGTGTGACTCTGTACATGGCAGATGGTTTCGCAAGTGAGTATCAAGATGGCGTCGCTAGTGACCGCTGTTTTCCATTTCTTTTCTTTCTGATAGATTCCAGCAATAAGTATCAGTACGACTCCAAAGCCTTTCTGTTTTCACTGGTGAACAAGCCAGGATGGGCACCTGTTAAACTGCCTCAAACAGGAAAATATAGTTCTAGAAGAAAATATTCCGTATGTTTTCGTTCATCGTATGGACCCACATTCGGTGGAGGAAAAGAAATTTACATTTCCAACTACGCGTCATCCAATAGCCATTCATACAGCAACCTTGGCCATACTTATAGCTCACCGGGCGGGCACAGCTACAGCAGCATCTTCTCCCAAACATTCCTGGCAGGAACTCACCACTTCACTCCAGACGAAGTAGAAACCTTTTACGAGTCAAACTAAAAGAAATAATTAACAATGTCTGCACTGTAATTACATCGTTAAAAAAATTTACTTAAAACTTGCCCTGTATCAGTATGCGTAAGAAACGATAAAACGATAAAAAAAACAAGACCCACAAACAAAGCAAAAGTCTTTTTTTATAGTGAAACCTAAAGCAAATATACCAAAACCGGTTCATCCAAAAAGAGCATGAACTATCCTTACATGTACTAAACGTCTTTTCACTGTTTGACCATTAAACACTCGCCACATGTTCGCCTCTGAGTTCGTTCTTGATTGATCAAAAGACAAAAGCTTACAAGAGAAATCAAGAACTGAATAATACATTAAAAGATATATATTTGATAAAAAGCAAAAACTTCAAAACAAACCCTCGACTTCGTCTTAGTATTGCATTTCTGTCTCGAATTGTCCTAAACCCTTTTGTGTTTATATCAGGCTATGCAAACACGGAAAACATCTTCTATTGCTTGAATATCATTGGCTGTAATTCTAAGGCCCCGTCCACTAATGGGTTTTCGTTTGAAGACGCAATACATTTCGATGCGTTATTCCTTCCGACCACACTACCGCGCTGAGCGTTTTCATCGAAAACGCATCGATTTGAAAATACTCTTGAAAGTGGATGAGAGTAGAAGGTCGAAAACAGTAAAAACGCATCAAATGAAATCGATTACCGAAATATCGCAGGTGCTTTTGTTTGTAGCATGTGTATACTAGAGTTCATGACCAACTTACGCCACAAGCATTTCTACGGTTTTCGAACGTTTTTGTGTGTACAGTCGAAAACGCATCGAAATGCCGGAAGTAGCGTGCATGCGAATCGATCGATGTATTAGTGTGGACAGGGCACAAAGTTTTAGAAACCTTTATTTCAATAGGGTAACTCGTTCAGTTTTTGTAGAGGCCCTACATGCATGATAAACTAAATTGAAAAGAAATAATAGTGATAATTAATTACGATTAAAAGTAGCTATAAAATATTATATAAAGGACTTAAAAATTGAATTACACGAAAAATCATAAAAATCTTAAAAACTAAATCTGATGAAAAATTTCACAACCGTGATAAAAAGGCCTTTTTCGTACATTCTAACTTTATAGACGGGAGTCTAAGTTTACCACTGCTTGTTGTTGTTCTGGGCAGTGCATCCTTGTTACAATTAAAAATAGTGCACAGAAAACTGTGGACAACGGTTGCTTAAGCATTAATTAACTAGATATGCGTACATGGCTCTCTCGCCTTTTCTCCAGAGTTACGTAACCTAAGAAATTTAGCGCTTTTTCGCTGCTCCCCAGACGCATAACGATACGTGCTGCGCGCCTCTGCAACTTCTCCAACTTATCAGCATTAACACTCCCGCAGCAGCTCCACACAGTATCGCAGTAATCAAGAATAGGTAGAACAAACGACGTATAAACGGTACCTGCCGTGTACATATTTATGTTTTTCCTAATTCGGCGTAACATTGCTCATCTCTTCCTAACCTTACCGATCAAGTATTCAACGTGCGCATTCCACGTAAGCGACGCACCGAGAATAACCACAAGATAGTTATACTCAGAAGCGCGATTAATTAGGGAACGATTAATTAATAGGGAACGGCAACGCGAACGTCAAAAAGCATTAAGCATTAGCAAAACAACAACTATGCACCCGAATCACGCTTTTTTGTACATTTTTATGCCGTCACATGCAGCACCACTACGACGTGCCGAAACTGCCTAATTCCACCTCTTGTGAAGAGCATGAACACCAGACAAAGATGTTGTATGTTTTTCGTAACATAGAAACAGTCCTTTAGAATCCAACTCCAGAAAACTTCACCTACATGTTCATTTGACAAGTTGAACGACTTGGAATAAGAGCAATGAACTTGGAAACAGCATGAATTCACTTTTCAAGAGACGCTTTTGCCACTTTCGTCGTCATCCTCTTCCGTTGAGAAGATGTGGGTAAAAATTCTCCCAATATGTCGCACACGAAAAGCCGCACATAAATCTTCCTGCATTGAATGATTTCAATTTTTTACTAATCATCGATTGCGCCACGGTGAAAGCCAGCAAAAGTTTTAGCCGATTTGCGGTTTCGCCGTGATCTTTGAGAGAAGTGCAAGAACAATATGGTATGCGATCAATATCGAAAATCATCTTATCAAAAAGCAAACTTTTAATGTTCAATTGAAGTTCGTCTGTGGAAAAAATTTACTTCAGTGAAGTTTTAAAAAATTAATGTACCAAATCTTTTTTTAGTTTACTTAGCCCATAGTGGAGAGGCAGTCCGGCAGTTGTCTCCCGTTTTGTGAAAGTTGAATTAATGCATACAGGAAAGCAAACAGGAATAAAATTTCCAAGACTGACAATATAATTTTAAATGTGAATAATTTTGAACTTTATTTTATCTGAAATTTTTTTACGTTTATTTCTTAAGTCTACTGTGGAAATGCTCCGTATACATTAGTCGACTTCAGTTTTTTGAAAATTGATTCAATACACAGCGAAAAGAAACTGGCCACGGGAATAAAAGTTCCAAAAAATGTGTATTCTGAAATACCAACAAAGTTTTAAGTTGGGGTCCGTTTCAGGGTGCTACCAAAGTAGAGGGCTACTCTAGACGACAGTGCATACACTGCAAAGCTGACTAAAGACAAAATGCCTGAGAAATATGCCACATAGTTGTCTTTTAAGACAATTTCTCCACGACAGTGGATGTATTTTTCTCGTTTCTATTTCTATTTCTATTTCTCGTTTGTCTTATCCATAACTGACTCAAGAGAGAACAAAAACCCTTCTAATGTATTTTCCACCGCCTCAGTGCAATTTTTTCCTGAGTGCGAAACAACAATAGAGAAACTTTAGGGCGAGAATGTTGAAGATTATCTAGAAGAAGGTCGCTACATTCCTATCTTGAAGGGGCCAAAACAATAATGCGAAGTTCATGATTGCCATACCAGGCAACACCGTCGATATAATAGCAGTGTAGGGAGTTGCCGGAGGACTTGTCGTTCGAAATCCTCGAACTTTATGTTCAATTTCGCTCGCTATATAATAGCAAATAGCTGAGAAACGTTTAAAAGTTCAAGAATTTCCTCATTTTAAGTGGCTTGATGCATCTGAGTAAACAGCAATATTTGTAGTTTTCCTCGATATGAATGAACATGCTCACAGTCACTAGAAAAACACTTTGATAAACAAACTGAAATGTCACGCCGGAAGGAACCAGGTATCTGTACTTGTTTTCTTTCCTGAAGCCTGAGCAGCTTAAAAGCCTAAGAGGATTCGTATATTTAAGCAATAGACCACACTTTCTATGGGTTTACGGGCGTGATAACCCACTTGGGATGTTGGGAGAACACTCGAAAAGCTTGTAAATCACGAGCCGAAGGCGAGTGATTTACAAGCTTTTAATTCGAGTGTTCTCCCAACATCCCAAGTGGGTTATCACGCCCGTAAACCCATAGAAAGTGTGGTCTATTGCTTTTATAAAATAACTTTTAGTAGAATGGAGTCTTTTAGGTAAAAAATATGGTTTTAGTACCGTGATCAAGTCATTACTTCTCTCTAAAGTCATCATAAGCCAATCATGACTCACGATTTAATAGCGCTGAACTTTCTCAAAACTCAGTTCAGTCAAACAACAAACAGCAGCACTTCAAAACACGAGTTTTTGCACTCATTACATGATAACTTATGAAAGCTCTTTTACAGGAAAAGTCAACATTTATTCATGCAAACGTACAACGAAAGAATACGTTCATGGTTTGTTTACTACACAAGTAGAAATTAATTGAACATCGATCAGACTGTACGCAGCTGTATTTTGTTGAGTCGATCCGTAAGAATTTCGTGCTTACAGACGGAACTGGCAGCTATTGTAATGGAGGACTTCATTCACATTTTACAAGCCGCAGTGGTTTAGGATCTGTACTGGACTTTATTATGATTAACAAATGCTGCGGTAACGACGTGGCTGCATTTGCGAAGTTGTTGCATGTAACTTTATATGCACGTACAGCGACCGATGGACATTACCCTGCGAGCAGAGGCTACATTTTCGCGGTATGAGCTGGCGTACTATATGTTGATCAGAGATCTCTTTTTGGAACAATTTCTTTCATTATGGAATTTTATTTTCACATAAAATAAATCAAGAATGCTAAAACTATTCGTTTTGTTGCTGGTTGGCACATGGTTAAGTTTTCCTGGAGACTTTCTACACCAGAAATTCACACAGTTGTTGTCTTTCTCTGCCCTTGGCATCGTCGTGAAATGTAAACTGCTTTCCAGCTTTGTACTTTGTTACTTCTAAAGCTATGGCAGTAATAAAATGTGGAAACCAACGCTTTTGATATTAAGAAGGGCTTGTAGTAACTTGTTCTGTTTCTTAGCCTTTCTAAATCATTGTTTGCAGATCAATAGACGGTTTTGTTTATGGCTCGTGGTCCGGATGCCTTTTTCTATGGGTTTACCGGTATAATAAACCATAGGTTTTTGACCAATCAGTTCACGCGTACTATCTCAGTGCAGTCAAGAGCTACAATTACAAGCAAGAAAAATGGCAGATTCATATCTTTTCCCAGTCGATTGTTGTTACAAACTAATGTTGGACTATCACGCTGAAGCAAGGCGGGCTTATGAAAGGGCCATCAAAGCCTAAGGGCACTAACTAATGGCCTGTGTGGTACGGCGCATGTGCAAGTCGTGACAGTAGCCTATTGTTCAATTTTTTTTATACCGTATTTATTCGATTAACCGCCCTGGGCGCTTATTAAATTTTTGGACCTTGAGAGTGGGCGCTTATTCGAGGCTGGGCGCTTATTAACTTCTGCCTTTAGGATGGGCGCTTATTCGAGGTGGGCGCTAATTCGGGGTTGGGCGCTTATTCGAATAAATACGGTATCCCCATTTTTCATATTGGTCTGTGCTATTCCCCCCAAAAATGCATGTTGCAGATTAACAACCCTGTTCTTCTTTGAAACAAATATTTAACTTCGCGTCTTTCCAAGTAGCCTCACTAGAAAACCAGTCTAGTCTCTCGATGGGCAAAGCTAACGGCGCAGCGCACTATTAGTGACGTCAGAGAGCTATTTGCAATGTTTTGCCACTTTTGTCATTTGAATGACAAAAATGAGGAATTCGCTAGATGTTTTAAAATTTCAATTTGGTTGTATGAGTTTCAGTATATAAATAGTAGCTTTGCGCAGCGTTATTTTACGTTTGACGACCCAATGCGTGCCGTAACTTGGGCTGGAAATTGGCGCGGGCTTTAATAGGAGGGTAAGAAGTAATATCAGCCTTTGCACAGGGTTTTCGAGCACGGGGTATTCAATCAGAATACAAAATTGGTTGAAAAGAAAGAAAAAAGTAGGGGTCTTCTCGCCGGCCCGACCAATCCAGTTCCTTACTCCACCTGTCGCTGCTTTATTTGAGTGGCACGCACCACTCCCGGGTTTGCGAGACACGTATTTCTAGCATACAGCTATTTCAAGAAAGGTCGTCGGAAAAAGTACACGCCATTATCCCCAAAGGTATTGTGCTGGTCTTGAGTTCACTGTTCTTCAAAGAAATTGCAAAAATGGCACGAGAGGCCATGGACTTATGTTTGCGATTACTACAGGTAAGCTACAAAAGTAAGTTTGACAGCTACGGTGTTAGGAACAGTGTATTGATCATATCCCATATTACCTTTTTTCCGACAACCTTTCTCGAAATAGAATTAAATTTTAACCCGGGTTTCTTTTTCTCGTTATTAAAAGCCCTTTGTCGGATAATTTTCTCTATTCTTTTTAGAGTATCCAAGCATCAAATTGTAGGCAAAGAGAATTAAACTGAATTTGTATCTTTGAGTTCAAATTTCGCACTAACCGTGGGTTATCTTAGCCCAGCTTCGAACAGCCCGGTCTCCCCTGGACGCCACAACCCAGCTGAGGTCATTGTTAAGGTCTTCCAAAAACCATACCCTTTGGGGCGGCATTTGCCTGCGTGCAGACGTCTCCTATTTCTTTTTTTGCACAAAGAAAATAAGACACTTCTGCACGCAGGCAAGGGCGGCATATACCCCATAAGGCAATTATAAGGGACTACCCCCCTCCACCCTGGGTTCTGCAACCTGAATTAGTACTTAAATTTAGACTAACAGCTGTTGCAATACTGTAATTCCTTTATGGTCATGCCAATAAAGCTTTTGGTGTTGTTGTTGTTGCAATACGAGAATGTAAGAATAAAGTAGGTCAAAAACCAGGGTAGCTCCTTTACGTCAGTTGTCAGATTAAACATAAATTTTTGCTGGCAACTTTCCCACAAACGTTCGTCTTTGTGTGGCTATGAAAGAAAGAGGTTGTGGAGCTGAAGAAATGAGACCCTTAAACACCTCAAGATCTCATCGTCTCCTTGATTTTGTTCCATCCGTTAGGCCATCGTTTCTTTCTGTGATGCTAGTTTTTGTTTGCGGATGCCTCTGGGTGAAGAATACGACAATCAACGAACGACTTGTCGCGCTGGAATCTCGCATTCACTGTTTTTCCTGCGTTAAGAGTATTTCTATCGAAAATCTTGACAAGATGACTCTCTCGCCGGCAAAAGATACCGCAAAAGATCTTTACAAGAATATGCAGACACATGTTTCAGAAGGGATCGCCTCTAATTCAGGTATAAAGATGCTTTAGGGACAATTATCCTCTCTCATAGATGTCGTGCTTTGACTGAAATGAACTCCAGCTATTACGGACTCTCGCTAAAGAGGACACTAACTCGAGGTTCCTATAGTGTCCGCTGTAAAGGTAGTTGACTGTAATTCGCCTTTTGAAACAAGAAACGACTGGCATTATCTTTAACCGGGACATTTCCTCAATGCACCCCTCCCCCAACCCCTCTGTCCCTGGCAAAATATAGCATGACAGTACAACGTGACTGATATGATCCATCTAACCAGAAATTCCAAAAATTATTGTCTTTCGACGCTCATAAAATGTGACAGGGTCAATTTTGACAATTTTGGTGTTTAAAATACTGTTCAATAACAGAAACTTGCAAAGAAAATTAAGTTTCAGTTTTATTTGTGTCGGATATTGCATTTAAAGCCCTTCTAACTATCCAAGTGAATATGTATCTATTTGACGAAGCGATCTACAAATAGCATTCCTTTCTTGTAATCTTGTAAGGAGAGACTTTTCACACGAAGGGACAGAATTCCATCAAGTTGAAGCTTTTCCGAGGGGACCGTGGGAGGGCATTTTTTCTTTTAAGCTCCCGCACAGGCTAACAACATCATCGACTACTGTATCTAGATAATCATTGGGCGTAGATGTAGGGGCAATAACTCCACGCAATTATTTTTGTTCGCTCCAATTCGACTTCCATTTTTTTCGCCAGACGACCTTAAATGACCGGTTCCCTCCCCCCAAATATCGGCCCCATCGAGGAGGGAGTAGGACGCGCAAAGCCTTCTGGAAAATCCATTCACCATTTTCTCTTTTTTTGACCCAGTTTCGACCCATTTCTTGATTGGGCGTCGCCCACACGGGCAGCACAATTAATAACAACAAGAGTGCCTATTGTTTATGCCTTGTTCTTTTTTCTTTTCTTTCTTTCTCTTTTTATAAAAAAAGTATTCCGACAAGCAGGTAAAAATGTCCCTAGCGGCGAGAGCGGCGAGGAACGAGGAAAGACACGCAGGCTAACAAGTGACCGGGTATTCTAAACTTGCTTAGCCGCTTAGACCAATAGTTTCTCCTCTCTTCGTTCAGACAATCTTCAAGGAAAGGTTTCTTTTTCAAGTTTTCTTCATGGTGGTATACCGTGAAGAAATGAATTACTTCGCATTTCTTTTTGGATTGTTGTGATCGTAAGGCCCCTTATCACTGTCTAGCATTGGAGTGAATTTTTTGGTGTACCAAAAAATTTCTCGCGCGTTCGTAATGCTTTCTCGCAGGTCTTAATTACCCATTTTCCTTCCCTTTCAAAAGCCTACCGCGGGTTAGGTCTAACAGAAAATAATTTACTTTGAAGCTTTTTGGGTTGTTATTGTGAGACAGGAGTGAATGATTGACTGCAAAGGATAAAGCTTCAAACGTTAGTGTGCTGTAAGGACCTGAAGTGGGCCAAAACTTAGCCTAAGAACGTCTACGTGGGAGGCTTGTGTATTGAGTGGAAAATGAGACTGTGTAATGGCGAGTAGGAAATAAGACCACCCCACCCCGCTAAAGATAAAATTGTAAGTTACCGTATTTATTCGAATAAGCGCCCAACCTCGAATTAGCGCCCACCTCGAATAAGCGCCCATCCTAAAGGCAGAAAAAGTTAAAAAGCGCCCAGCCTCGAATAAGCGCCCACTCCCTCCTCCTCCCAATCAAAATCAAATAAGCGCTCACCTCCACCACACCCACTTGAGTAAATAAATTCCAATAGGAGACTTCCCCGAGGACGGAGTTTTCTTCAGAGTATTTTACAGAAACCTTGCTTTGTTACTTCTTGGCGTTTTGTTATTAGCATTTGTTGTTTTGTTGCAAAATAAACATACTTCACTTGCTGAAAATGGTGAAAATTTAATAAGCGCCCAGCCTCGAATAAGCGCCCACCTCGAATAAGCGCCCACTCTCAAGGTCCAAAAATTTAATAAGCCCCCAGGGCGGTTAATCGAATAAATACGGTAAGTAATGATGATGGATAATAGAACGCACGAGGTCTGTCTTGTTGTGCGAGTCCCGCTCCATATTGGTGTCTTGTCTTGTAGTTTTGCAATAGGAAAATAGCGCCCACCTGTCCCCGGCCAGTAACAACAGGCACAAGTTGAATCAACAGAGAATGAACTACTCTTTCTTATAGTAATTTGTTGCCTAAAACATGTGCCAAAACAGGATTCACAGTAAGAAGGGCAGTGATAACGCACTAATTTCCACAAGAACATTCTGAGTGAAAAAAAAGGAAGAGACAATAGAAAAAGGAAAAAAAGAAAGAGGATTGTTGACCTCGTTTAGATGACCTTTATTGATTTCTTTTGCTTCAATTATCCGTTTGCACATCTCCCATAATACACCATGTTTGCCCCCTAAAATTTTGCATAACCTTGGCCTTTAATTTCTCCTGGGTATTACAGTCGTTCCAAAAGAAATTGGAGACAATCTTTATGCAAAATATTTTAAGGGGCAAAACAAGGTGTACGTGTTGCACGTTTTACCGGCCCAAGGCAAACTTGTTTTACAGCAAGTGACGTGTATGGCGTCACTTCCGGGTAATTTTATTCAATCAAACAGAATTGAACGTGGGTGATAAAACGCACGACATCGCTTTTCAACTCTTGTTGCGGCAATGTTTCGAAATAAGTTGTACGTTTTTGTTGCTTGTTTTATCGTGGCTTTAGACCTGGTGTCTCTTTCTCGTAAATACTTCCATTTATGGAAGGGATCGTGTCATTTCCACTCACGCTATGCTGGTGTCAGTAACTGACCTAATAACTTGGTTTTAATTTCGAAGGAACCTTCTAATACATACAACCTTGTTAAATTTATTTGTTTATTAACCAAATCAGTCATTACAATTTATATTATCAGTCATTATAATTTATAACATTTTGACTGCAGTTGTACCGTTGTCAAAAATGGCATTTACAACCGTCCGACCAAGAAACCGAAGACACGTTTTAAACGACACTTCAGCTAGTATAACATTACAAGACGTGAGAAAAGAAATCACAAAACATTTTCAACAACTTATGCCCCTCAAGTACTGTACATCAAGTGAGAAAGTATGCCCCGCAGGTCCCCCTGGACTTCCTGGTCCCAGTGGGGCAAAAGGACCCCGTGGTAGGAGGGGACCAAAGGGGAAAAGGGGGCCTCAAGGTCCCATGGGACCACCTGGAAAATCCGGAAAAACAGGAATGATGGGTCCTGCAGGGCCGAAAGGAGAAAAGGGAGACAAGGGAGAGCCTGGGCCGAAAGGTACGCCGGGACTGCCTGGAATGCCTGGGAAATCGATATCTGCTCCACAAGTAATGTTGTCGCCGGCAGAACAGACAAGAGATGAAGGAACAAATACGGCTTTTTATTGCACAATTGGAGGAAATCCTCTCCCTGCCGTCGGATGGCGATTCAAGGGCAGAAAGCTTCTGTCAGGAGCAAAATATATGATAAAAGGAGGAGAGTTGATCGTTAAGAATCTGAACTACAGCGATACTGGGCAGTACACATGTCACGCCAGGAACATTCTTGGATCGTCTGAGGCCACTTGTAATTTATCTGTTCAAGGTAAGATCAGAGAATAATTGAAACTTCAGGATTTTTCATACTCAGCTGCTTAGTGGTGAATACATTTATGCCTATAAAGGGCACCCGTGTTTGAGACTTTGCTGGCAAATCTCTTTTTTTCTTTTTTTTTCTCTGTTATTTGTTTGTTTTCGTTTGCTTTTTTATTCAATTTTTGTCTTACTCACAATTATTTGTACAAACAATAATTATTATATAGCATTTAGTTTTTAATATAACAACGTAAAGGTAACATAGAAACTCCGTCGTCCAAAAGCTTGCAATTGCTTTCTATTCGTCGTTATATACATATTATTTGCCGTCTACATCTTCTGTCAGGTCTTCCAGTCTTCACAAAAGTTCCACCGTCACCCGCTACGCCAGTACAACGCAGTACCTTTCAGGCAGGTTGTCAAGCTGAAGGATTCCCTCGTCCCGTAATAAGCTGGAGAAGAGTTGGAATGCCTTTTCCAAGTAGAAGAACTGAAGTAAACCATGGTACACTAACCATTAAGAACTTGATTCTCGCTGACAGCGGTTTGTACGACTGCATTGCGACGAACGCGATGGGAACAAAGAAGACCAGAATCAACGTGGTAGTGCAAAGAAAACCCGGTAAGCTCCGTGATATATTGAAAGTAGTCTTTCAGCGGGGTTTCAATACGGCTGTGATTTTTTTTCTGATGTTACGCCGTTCCCTGAACTCTTCCGCTGAAACAGCCAAAAACGTCGTGCTCCATTTTCTTTCCACCCGGATTTTCCGGAAACGTTTTCTGAACAATAACAAGCAAGTTTCAGCTATAAAAAATTTTAAACGTGGTGTCTGCTGCCGAGCCATATCCCTGGGCGTAATAATTAAGGCTTAGATTTTACTTGAAAAGACAATATGCTCCATGTTGACATTATTCATCAGAGCTTTTAGTCTCAAAAAAATTTTTTTTTGACATTTGTTCAGATTTAGACTCCGTAATAGTGGGAAACAACAGAAATTACTTGAGGATTTTAAGAAGCTGGCTGTCCCCTGTGGTACGAAGCGTGAATTCCGCCTGGAAACGCTGTTGGCGTGCATCTCTGGACGGCTGGGCTGCAAGTACATTTCACTCGCGATGTGATGGCAAGGGACCAACTGTAACAATAATAAGGGTCGGAAGGTATATTTTTGGAGGATACACCAGTGTTTCATGGGGTAAGTGGACATTATGAACAGGGATAATTTAACTTTGTTATAAAGCTAAAAACAAAGTTATATATTAATCGATATTAAGGAGTATGAAAATAACGCAGCCTTTGGATACACTGATATGGAAAGAGGATAACCTGAGATCAGGCTCAATTTTCGTTTCGCTTTGTAACAACATTCCGGCGGCAAGGCGAAACGAAAACAGAGCAGGCCCAATTTTAGCGGTAGCCGTTAGAGAGAATGTATGAGAACCGCTAAAATTGGGCCTGATCTAAGGTTGGAAAGAGGATTAGGGGCATTGCGAAATTACCAGATTCGAACGAACTTTGGAAGGGTGAAAAATATAATTTAAATGACCGCGAATTAAAAGGCTCAGCTCTAGAAAAAAAGAAGGGGGGTTCTCAATCGAAATGGAGTAGGAGTCGTAATTGGAGACACAAGCGATAGGCACCTATGATCTAGTAAACAAAAGCCTGCGTAGCTGGCGATATTGTGTGGGTGCGAGATTAAAGTTTTGGCGGCGGAGCCGTGTTCCAAAAATAGGGAGTAGGGACGAGGCGGTTGAAATACCGCCAGGCAGAAAACCCCGGTATTTTGAATAGTCCGCACACCAGTGTGCGGGGAAACGGATTGGTCGAGGGCCATACATATGTCAATCATGTTAGATGAGCCTTCGCATATATTTCCCAATTTAGGGAACAGATGGCAAACTGAAAAAGACGTACACGTAAAGTGATTGTGATTGTGATTTCCGCTTTAAAAAGAGCATAATTGATGACCAAATTGGCGAAATGGCGTCTTTAAACTTCACAGCGCTGGAATTGTCTTTATTTAGCCGTAAGAAACAAAGGTCAAAGAAAATTAAAACACTATACAACTGCATCTGAGATCAAATCCTATCAGGAACACCTACCGAAGAATAAACCACCGGAAATGGTTACTCAGTATGCATGTAACAAACCAGCTTCATGACCTTTTAATGTTAAGCCTGGTGTTGCAAAAAAAGATTTACTCAGTCAAAGTTTAGAATGATACATGCACTGTGTAGTGCTAGTAACCTTCGCGCGAGAGCCGAGGAAATAAAAAAACCTCTGTTCAAGCAAACTCACAAGGTCACGTTTCACATTATCACGAGCTTGGGAGTCGTGTTTAGCCTGTCAACGCTTATTTCTAAACTTTCTCGCGCGAAAACAATCGGAAGTTTCAAATTGCAGGTTTCTCTTTGACTGGCTGATTTAAATTGCGATCAGCTAAGGTGACAAAAGTGGGCGGCATTCGAAAAATCATGGTTCTCTGGCAGGCGGTATTTCTCGCGGCTTCGCCGCTCGTGACGGCTCCGCCGTCAAATCTCACCCGACTATATTACAACGGCTCCGCCGCCAAATCTCACTCGACTACTAGTCAATACCGCCAGCTACGCAGGCTAAGTAAACAACAAAAATCGAAGCTATTAGGGTGACGGATTCAGCTGACTCCTCACTGCGCCTACAATTTAGAAAATGTACATAAATGTAAATGGTGGTGAGGAATTTTCATCGGTTGTGCGTTTATTATTTCTTATATTTTGAAAACTGTGATTGCAGAGTTAAGAGTTGCATTGTTTTGTTTTGACAAATAAAAAAATGTTAACTACAACTCAAACAGGTTTATTTGAGGAAAGTAAATATGTTAAAAAACATTTATTTCGTGTGTCACTCTCGGTACAAGTGAGTATCAGGATAGGGATAGCGTCGCTAGTGACAGCTGGTTTTCCATTTCTTTTCTTTCTGATAGAGTCCGGCAATAAGTATCAGTACGACTCCAAAGCCTTTCTGTTTTCACTGGTGAACAAGCCAGGATGGGCACCTGTTAAACTGCCTCAAACAGGAAGATATAGTTCCAGAAGAACATATTCCGTAGGTTTTATTTCATCGTATGGACCTACATTCGGTGGAGGAAATGACATTTATATTTCCAACTCCGCGTCATCCAATAGCAATTCATACAGCAACCTTGGCCATACTTACAGTCCACCGAGCAGGCACAACTACGGCAGCACCTTCGCCAAAACATTCCTGGCAGGAACTTACACCTTCACTCCAGACGAAGTAGAAACCTTTTACGAGTCAAACTAAAAAAAAAATTAAAAAATAACAATAGGCCGCGTCGATATTGATGTTAATTCCTATAGTCTGCAATGTAATTACGTCGTTAAAAAGAATTTACTTAAAACTTGTCCTGTATTAGTATGCGCAAGAAACGATAAAACGATAAAAAAAAATAAGACCTACAAACAAAGCAAAAGTCTTTTTCTATAGTGAAACCTAAAGCAAATATACCAGAACCGGTTCATCCAAAAAGAGCAAGACCTATCCTTATATGTACTAAATGTCTTTTCACTGTTTAACCATTAAGAGCCAATGTCTGTAATTTTCGAGAATCGGTTGACAGTCATGAATTTTTGAGTTTCTTCATATTTTGCCCAAATAATCTCTATAATACACTTATTTCAAAAATCACGTTAAAACTTGTAACAGCTTTTTATTTTTTCAGGAATCAGGCAAAGTTTGAAAAACTCTAAATCGGCGCTCTTTCGAGTATGAAATTTGCGAAAATTGAGCATTTTCTTCGCGCTCGTACATTAAAACAGAAAAATATCTCTAGATGAAATCAAGTCACAAAACAGACACACATTATGACTTTATAATCCAGCAGTTAACTTTAAATAAACTGTTTAAATGTGACTGTACCGGCCGCAAGAAGAAACACGGTTTCAGCACTTTTCAAAAATGGCAAATTTGACCTAACTTCACCATCGTAAAAACCTAGTTGGTACACGGAATTTCAATATGAAACAAGAACTGTATTGAAGCATATCTTTTGTTGTTGTTCGTGTTAAAATATTTCTGGCGGCATTCCAAATGCGCACCGTCGAGAGACGAAAACCTGAAGGGTATTTTGACACCAGGAAAGCGCGTGCAACAAGCAAGTCTCGACGCTTGGAATATTAATCCTTCGCAAACGTAAGTTACTTCGACATTTAAACCCTAGTCAGAGTTATAACGGTTTCAGATTATATTTCGGCGTTCCTGTTCCGTTTAAAATGATTCCTTTCAACTGATTTTTGCGATAAACCATAATGAAGAGACGAATACGCAGTTTCAAATCACAGTTAGTAGAGACTGGAATATTGTCGAAATACTCGTTTGCAATAGTTTTAATCGTATTGAAACCTTAAAATCAGACAAGTTATTTACTTACCTGAATTTAGATGCTAGACGGAGTCACAGTACCGCTAACTAAATTCTGCATCACGGCAGAATCGAAGTTAAGTTTGCAGATGTTTTCAATCTGTCGACACGAGGGAAGATGACATTCCGGAAGTGCGTGACGCGTAACGCGCCGGAAAAGAAATTCCTGGTATAAGTGTTTTACTTTTCAAGTCTTTGTTGTATGTTCGTATAGCATCTCGCACATATTCAAACTTGGTTTATGGCGCCTGTGGCCCCAGTAATGCTGAATGTATTGCGATCTTAGAAGAGATGTCGTGAGTCACTTGGTATGTTCCTGACTTCTCAGTCACATGTGTATGTAGGGCAATAACCAAACATCGACCCTACCATGCTAATGATAAAAGTACGGTTTTCTGCATTTACGTTGGGTGATCTTTGTTTGATCCACAAAATTGGCGCATGAAAATAAGAGTTTTTCCTCACCATCTCTAAATGTTTGGTTCCGGGTAGCGGTGCAACAAGTCACGTGGTACCGTTCTAGATAAACCTACTGGCTGCTTATAGAGGGTCCATAAACGCACATTGATTGATGTCTCTGTATGGCCTGAACTGAAAATGATATACGCAGACGTTTTCTGAGCGACGAAGGTGCAGCTTTTACACTCCTCTTTTGTTTTGAAAATAGACGAGCACGCGAGCGAAGCGAGCGCGCGAGAGCGGAGCCCCTTGCTCTAACGGTCAATAAATCCCCTGCGGCTTTTATTTTCATAGGCGAAATCGACGATCTCCAAAGAGAAAATAGATCGGCGATCTCTAATGAAAAAGTAGAGGGTCTGTGAACAGGCTTCGAAGGTGCTTGCTATTATTTTAGTGAACTTTACAAGAGGTCGCCGGTGACTATGCTAACGTCATGAAAAGTCTACTTAGCTTGTTTAACTTTAGGGCAGGGGGAGGAGATGGGTGGGTTGGTTGGCATTGGGTTCTCCATTAGGATCAACCCTACACATACAACAATTCATGTCTTTATCACTACATTTAGAGCTAGCAGACTTTGTTTGATCCACAAAATTGGCGCATGAAAAATGTTTGGGTTCCGGGTGGCGGAGCACAAATCACGTTGTACCGTTCCAGAACAGCCTACTGGCCATGCTGGCTGCTCATTTAAAAGGGGTCCGTAAAGGCACATTAATTGATGACTCTGTGCGGCCAGAAGAAAATTATATACGCAGACGTTTTCAGAGCCACGAAGGTGCTGCTTTTACACTTCTTTTTCTTTTCGAAAATGGCCACGGACTTCTCTCCTCGCTCCTCGCCGCTAGGCGGTCGTTTTTGCCCGAGAGATACCACCACGAAGGAGTTTTAGCACAAACGTCACTGCAGGTGCAGACCTAGGAAAAGGGCATTCTCCATCTGAAATTTTAAATCGAAATGAAGTTAAAGCCTATTTTCAGCCTTTTCTCTCTTTTCTCCGCAACGTATTTGGTTAAAAGATAGTAAGTAAAATGGCTTAGGCATTTTAAAGCATTTTTTTCATTTACGCGACGGATTTTGACGTTATGAAAACGAACTTGTCAGTGAATTGGTCTATTTTCTAGCCTGCGAACAAGTGCCGGGGGGTGGTGGCGGACAGAGCCAGGTGACTATTCCTTTTCTTCAGGCAGGAGCTAGCAGTACGTGCATTCTGGTCTAACCCCATACTGTGTAGACTGGCCTTTAAGGGCCTCTGTTCGGGGGGCGAGGGATCAGATAGTGTACAATTCGTCAACAACAGGTTGAGGTCTTGCCAGAAGATGCCATTGCTGCAGAGGAGCAAAGCAATACTACTTTCAGTAATTTAAACATGTTAAATACTTGTATTTCGCTCATCAAATGTGTCCATTGTCCATTGTCGATTTTTCGCTCATCAAATGTGTCCATTGTCCATTGTCGATTTGTGGTTTTTCAGGAATGTTCTTTTGCGGGCATTGGCCAATTTTCTTTAAACAGTTTTACTCGTTTCCATTCCCTGCTCTACCTTCATGTTGCATATGGCGTACGTGTGTTCCTAAATCCCTCAATTCATACTGAGGTGATCGATAAAGAAGTCTATACGCCAAGCGGGGTTAAGATTAGTTTATTACAAGCAAAGGCTCAGAAGGCTAAGTGCAAATAAAAGAAAACTAGTGTGAAAAGTTTTGCAGACTCGGCTTACTCTATTTGTTTTCTTTCACTATTTGTGTTAAATTCGGCTGGTACATCCTAAAATCAAGTTTAGTTCCAGTTTGGGAATATAAAATATAAAACTGAAAAAAACAGTGTTATTAAATTGTTATTTTATTTTTTCTTGTACACTCGTGCGATGATTTGTCCTTGTCTGTACAGTTGTGTGACCAGACTCAAATTACACACAGGCTTTCATCACGCATCACAGCGTTTAGTCCGAGGCTAAACGACGGAAGATTTCAGTAAACTGCGGCCACTTGCAGTTGAAACGACTGTGGTAAGTAATTCTTAGAGATCTCGAATCCCATTTAGAGCTAGCACGCCGTTTCTAGCGGCTTTATTTTGAGGTGCAGAAACTCGGGGTCAATATTTACACTCAATGAGAACTTAACAGCGTTGTCTTTTTCAGCTTCTTGCGTGCAATCAAATGTAGTGTTAATCTGCTTAGCTCTTTTTTATAACCATCAAATTGAAAAGCGTTTTTCAAAAGATTTTAAGAGCTTCCCGTAATGTGCCCCTTGTAAAAGAAACTAAGTTAGCCAAACCTTTTGTGTGCCTACACTCGCGGCTAGCTTGTTTCAGCGTTCCAACGTGCGAAACTACCCTGCACGTTTCGATGTCTCAGCGACGCACTTTTGTAATGCCGCCAAAAATTTTTTAATGCAAGAAACGACAAAGGATGTGCTTTAAAACAGTGTTTGTTTTATGTTGAAATTCCGTGTACCAACTAGGTTTTTACGATGGTGAAGTTAGGTCAAATTTGCCATTTTTGAAAAGTGCTGAAACCGTGTTTCTTCTTGCGGCCGGTACAGTCACATTTAAACGGTTCATTTAAAGTTAACTGCTGAATTATAAAGTAATAATGTGTGTCTGTTTTGTGACTTGATTTCATCTAGAGATATTTTTCCGTTTTTATCTACGAGCGCGAAGAAAATGCTCAATTTTCGCTAATTTCATACTCGAAAGAGCGCCGATTTGGCGTTTTTCAAATTTTGCCCGATTCAGGAAAAACTAAAAAGCCGTTGAAAGTTTTAATGTGATTTTTAAAATAAGTGTACTATAGAGATTATGTGGGCAAAATATGAAGAAATTCAAAAATTCACGACTGTCAACCGATTCTCGAAAATTACTGACATTGGCTCTTAAACACACTCGCCACATATTGGCCTCTGATTTCGTTCTTGATTTTTTTAAACAAAAGACAAAAGTTTACAAAAGAAATCAATAACTGAATCATACATTAAAAAATATATATTTGATAAAAAGCAAAAACTTCAAAACAAATTTGCAAAGGTTAAAAATGAAAACTAAGAGACAAAAAGAAAAATTGAACCCTAGACTTCGTCTTTTAGTTTTGTATATCTGTCTCGAATTCTTCTAACCTCTTTCGTGTTTATATCAGGCTATGCAAACACGGAAAACGTCTTCTATTGCTTGAATATTTGGTGTAATCGAACTAGAGCCAATCACGATTACAAGCTCTATGTAAAAGTTGCCATCCTAAACTGCTACAAATATTCTTTCTTTGTACGGATGGTTATGCGTGGAATAACTTGCCTAAAGATGTTGTACACGCAGGATCGCTGACTATTAGTTGCGCAACAGATTAAGGATTTATATGAATATTCATTGATTAATACGATGTAAATAGTTTCAATTATGATATGCAAATGATGTTTTTTATTCTAGTTTTAGGTTTT